GCAGTATCACAAGAGCAGGAAAGTTGACATATTGGGTCAAAAGGGTCCCGACCCAAAATGTCAACTTTCCTGCTTTGTGATGCTGCCTGGCCTGCTGTGTTCCTCCAGCTCCACACTGTGTTACCTTGTCTTCAAATTTTAGCTTTGTTTCTGCAATGCACCAAATGTATTATCACAGAATAAACCTGATGTGCCATCTCTCCAAACCATAAAGAAATAGGAGCAGATGCTTGAGGGAGAAGGGCGTATGCCTTCCCTTTTGCATGTAGCACAATAAGGAATGTGGGGTGAAATCTTATTTAAAAAGAAACTACACAGACTTGCTCTTCACGTAAAATCACCCAATTTTGTATTTTGAGATCATTTGAGCCTTAAAATGCATTGCTATATTAAGATAACATTATTAATACTCAAATTCTCAGCAACATTAATTTATTTTACTATACCTCGGTCAAAGTTGTACTGCTGAGAGATGATTTCACTCCAGTGTTTAGCGCACTCTGCTGAGAGCTTCTTTGGTTTATCAAGTCTTCTAACTGCTAGAGCTTGAACATGCTTCTGAAAAGCGTCCTCTGTCATTTCCTTGATATGCTTTTCCATGGTTTTCAGAAAAGCCTCCACCCTGCTCTCCAGGTAACTGGGTGGTCTTTCTGACTGAATAATAAAACGGAGGCCTTGTACACCATTTGATCGCCGTGGACCACTAAATACAATGTAACCTATAATGACAAAGGAGATTTCAAGTTCGTACAATCATGAAAATAATTAAGATATAAAAATCAATTATGCAACTTAAAATTTTGCATCAATTAAATGTGGCTGATTAGTGATACATCTAAAACATAAAATGAAGTTGATATAATTATGACATGGAGGAAGGAAGTAAACATACTGTATCCAAATTTGGAGATGACACAAAAATAAGTGTAAAGGCAAGTGGTGAGGGGGATACAAACAGTTTACAGAGATATTGATAGGTTAAAAAAATGGGCAAAAACATGGCAAAAGAGGTATAACATGGGAAAATGTGAAGTTGTTCATTTTGAAAGGGGAACAAAAGAACAGATTATTATTTAAAAGGAGGAAAACTGCAGAAAGCTGGAACACATAAGAACTTGGAGTACTTATAGATGAAACACAAAGCTAACGCACCGATGCAGCAGGCAATCAAGCTAACGGAATATTGTCCCCTATTTCAAGGGCAATGGAGTGACAGAGTAGGGAAGTCTGACTGCAACTGTACGAGGTGCTGGTGACACCACATCTGGAGTAGTCAGAGCAGTTTTGGTCTGCTTATTTAAGAAAAGATATTATATCATCAGAGGCAGTTCACAAGGATGATCTATGGTATGGAGGGACTGTCTTATGAGCAAAGGTTAAACAGGTTGGGACTCTCCACACTGAAGTTTAGAAGAACGAGGAGTGATCTTATTTGAAATATATAAGATTCTTAAGGGGTCCTACACAGTAAATGCTGAGAGGATTTTTTTCTCTCATGGGAGAGTCTAGGACTAGAGTGCATAGTCTCAGAATAAACAGCTGCCAATTTAAAACGGAGATGAGGACGAATTTCTTTTCTTAGAGGGTTAAGTGTCTTCGAAACTCCTTACCATAGAGAACTGTGGGGACACAGTCCTTGTGTATATTTAAGGCTGAGATAATTAAGTTCTTGATCTGTAGGTGAAGCAAGGCTTAGGGAAAAGGTAGGAAAGTGGACTAAGGAATGTCAGATCAGCCACGATCCCAGTCAATGTTACAGCAGGCTCGAGGGGCCGAATAGCATACTCCCGTTTCTATTTTTTATGGTCTTCTAATTCCTTTTCATTCCTTTTCAGTTAATTCTATAAACTGTCCTTTCTTCCCAGAGGGCTACTTAAATTTGTTAGCAGAGAATGAAGAGCTCTGGAATACACGAGAAGATTAGATCAGCTCTCCAACATGCTCTTCTGTTCTATGCAGTTATGATAGCTGTGTATGAATCCTACTAATTCATCTTTGATCCAGTTGACACTTACCTAATAAAGCTATGTCAAACTCATTGCTGAAAATTTCAGTTTTCCCAAAAACCAGAGATTTTTGGAAAGACAGTGCCAGATTTCCAATGCCATGTGTGTGGGGAAAAAATGATTTCATGAGAAAATAGGAAATGGAAGTAGACAGCTTTTTGGCTTGAGCTTTCTCTGCCATTCAATATAATCATGGCTGATCTATCTTAATTCCACTTACCTGCTCACTTCCAATGCAACTTCAACACCCGTCAATCTCAATCTTGATTATACTTACAACCCTCAGAGAACTCTGGTGTGTACTTTTCAGCTGTTTTCAACACCCTGCAGCATGTTCACCACCTCTCAAAAAAACATGTTCTAGAACTCAGGTGAGGAACGTTTGGTGACTACAGATGTCAATACATTTTCCAACTTCTTTCTAGATTACAACAAGGAAACCTTTACTGCAACCTCAAATCTATCTCCTCCCTTTTCAAGAGATGTTGGTGAAGGGAATAGACATAAACCTACTCCATCCCACTCTGGCAGGGATTTTGGGCTCTAGGAGAAAAAAATATTTAGTCCTGTCATGATGTGATAAATTTTTCTGCCTTTGTTTCCCTCAGTTTTTTTCCACTTCACACCAGCCAACTCTGCCCTCATCACTGAATTTTTAACATGCCCTCATTAATACTTGTTTTATTCTGTCCTACAGAGCAGCTACAGTTAGGTGACCTATAAACTCCTCCCACCCATACTTTCTCCTTGCCATTGGAGGCACAGATTTACGGATTCTGTACCATATGATCTAAGATTATTTCTGGTTAACGCGCTTGTTCCATTTCATTCTAACATAGCTACCTGAGAGCGCTTTTTTTCCAGCCTGTCCCTCCACAAAATCACATACCCTGAATAAAAACCAAAAGAACTGCAGATTCTGTAAATCAGAAACAAAATCAGAAGTTTCTGGAAAAGCTCAATGGGTCCAGCAGCATCTGTGTAGAGAAATCAAAATTAACGTTTTGGGTCCGGTGGCCCTTCCTCAGAAGTGAGGAATATTGTTGCCAGCTTTGATCTCCTTGTAACCATTTCTCTGTAATAGCTTTAAGATCATATCTATTAACCTCAATTTGTGCCATGAGCTCATTTGTTTTGATTTGAATGCTATATACATTCATGTATAGAGGCATTAATTTTGCATTTTTACCATATTTCTCCTTTGACATTATTTGCTGTTGTCTTGAAATGCTTATACACTATCTTCTTTTCCCACTCTCAGAGTTATCTAAAATGTGCCCTGCATTGTCATCATATCCATTTGCTTTGTAAGTCTGTGTTTCCCAACTTATGAATTCATCCACCTCCCAAATTAGTTTAAAGCCTTAGTTATTCGATTTGTTAGGACACCGATCCCAGTGTGATTCAAGTGAAGCCCATCACCAGAACAAGCTCCTTTAACCTCAGTACTGGTGCCATAAACTGAAACCATTCCTCGCACAGAATCCATGAGTGACATACTTAACTCCTGGAGTTCATTTATCCAATGCCAGTTTGCCCATGGCACAGGTAGTAATCTGGAGATTACTACTTTGGAGGTTCGAGATTTTAGTTTTGCTTGTAACTGCTTGAACTCTTCTGGCAGAACTTCTTTTCTAGACCTATCAAAGTTATTCATATCAATGTGTATGACAACAACTGATCCCTCTCTTCAGACTCTAAGTTCTACCACAGGCCCAAAGAGATGTTTGTAATGTTGGCACCAGGCAGGCAAACAGCCTTCAGGACTCATGTTTATGGCTGCAGAAAACAGTGTCTATCCCTATATTTATGTCAGTTTACTGACCCCCTCTACAGCGCCCACTCTCATTTGCACAGCTTGCAACAACCTTGTAACTGCTGGACAATTGCAGGCAATGAAGCTCGACCTTGGGTCCACATATTTGCCTCACCTGCAATCACACCCTTCTGCCCCTGTGCACAGACTAAGTTTGAATTACCTAACCTAAAAGGCATGACTACTCCTGGAGCATGTGCCCAGGTAACTTTTCCTTCCTTAATGTAGTACAACATCTGCAGCTAGGACTCCAGCTTAACCCAGATCTGAAGTTGCTCAAGCTGCATATATTTGCTGTAGATGTGTTCCCTGTTGATCAGCTTGGTGTCCAGCAGCTCCCAAATGCTGCAGTTGCAACACATTACCTTACTTCCCGTATTTAGTATCTTAACCTGCACTAACTATTCACACTTTCTTTACACGTTATTGTATTTTTTAAATGCACAGTATCAATCTTATATCTAACAAGCAATTTGTAAGGAGAGGAAAAAAGGCTACAGACCTGAACACAAACTGAAGACTTTTTTTAATTTAAAAGGGATACGAATTCCTTAGATACAGGGCGCAAAATTGCTCACAATATTTCAAATGTGGTCTGACCAGAATCTTACACAGCCTTAGCAGTACATCTTGCTAGGTCTTAACTATAGCAAGTTTGGAAATCAAAGCTACAACACAGCATTCTTATTAACAGTAACAAATTGTTTCAGCATCACAATCACTGGCAGCACTTCAGGTGGTCTACAGAAATACTTCCCAATTAGCTGCTTTATTTAGGAAAAAGGAATCAAACAGTTCTTTCGTTCCACTGCTGAATTCCATGAGATTCCCAACTCCAGCACTAAACAGTAAACTGCACTCAAGTGCTAAGTCTGATTTTGTTGGCTACTTACATATATACCTTACACAAAGGGCCCAGCTGAGCCAATTAACATGAGCATGTGGTTTCAGCTGGTTCTTAACTAGGCCGCTCGACCAATGGAACCCGTGAAAATAAACTTGCTCAAATCTCACAATTACAAAATCCAAACTCCAGATTTTACGTTAATGCCAGCTAAAACTAAAATAGGTTTGCATAAATTGGAGATTTGGGTACTTTCTTACTGCATCTGCAGTCTTTATTCTCTCCAGAACATTTACTGGGAATCTGGATTCACAGTGGGTAGATAATACCATTGGCCATTGCCTCTTCCCTAATTTATATGTACCCAAAACAACACAAAGAAAAACAACTTGGATCAAAAAGAGACAACTCTTATCAGGAATATCTTTGTTCAGCTTTTACACCACAAAAGATGAGAAACAGTATAAATGTTTTGGACATAAAACTAATGCTACTTGCTTTGGGAGCAAAGTAACAGAGATACAAAGTTAAAACAGTTATTTTCTGTTGTCAGCAGTTACAATTGCTTAATAATAGCAAGTATGGAAATCAAAACTACAACAGAGCATTCTTTTAGACGTTAACAAATTAGTTCAGCATCACTGACAATATTTCTGATGGTCAACAAACAAGAGGTTTAATTCTATAAAAAAAAACTGAAAATGAATTAAGATTTTCAAATAAAGTGGTCGCATACAACTGAAACATCATGCTCATTAAACTAGTCATTGTGATCTTACAAATGATGAATCTTGACATACCTAATTGCTCTTTAGTCCGCAGTGTGTTGAAGCATGGCTCCGATATGATTTGACAAAAAAGCTCCAGTAACATATTTTCATGGGTGTTCTGCATGTCTGTCTGGTAGTAGATCTCAATTCCACAATTGTTATGTACCTCATTCCTTTGCTGGTACACAAACCAGCCTCCTATGTATGGCATGCAGGACAGAAGCAATCATTAGGTTTTCTACAGACATGCACCAGTTCTCTTAACATTCCTTGTGATAGCTGATCCGACGTTGGTGTGGTGCTTGTGGATTGGAGGGCAGGATGTTGGAGTTTGAGAGTGGTGGCGGTGGTGGTGGGTGGGTGTGGTATCTTTGAAGGGTGTGTTTTTTTGGGCTTGGAGATTGAAGGAAGTGTCTGCAGGCAGCAGCGGATGTGCGGAGAGTCCTCGGGGTTGAGCCATTGTATCATGGGTGCTGTTGGCAGGCAGGACAGCATTTTTGGTAGGTCAACAGGTTTTTGAATTTGGCTGGTTGGTTTGGGCTCGGCCCTGGATGCTGAGGCCCATTGAATTTGGGCCTGATGGTTTTGATGGCCTTGGACCAATCCTATTGTGGGAGATTGATGGGTCATTGAGGATGTGGAGGAGGAGGGCATTAGAGGATGGGTTGAGAGCAAACTGCCATCTGTTAAGACCACAGCTCTCAACAACCACCAGCTCTAAAGAAAGAGAAAATCGCTGGCCCTCACAGAAATCTCTAAGATCTCAGAGTAAGCACCATATAAATAAAGATAATATGACACTCTTGGCTAATATTCCTGACAAGAATTCAATGAAGGAAGGTGTCTGGACTGGAAGACAGTGGAGAAGGCAAAGAACATTCCTGAAGACTTAATCTCTCAAAATTACAGCCAAAATACATTTTAATTTTTTAAAATTAATTTGATATATATAAGTGGGACTTATATCTATTGGAACAGCATACCATTAGAATTTTGTTTTATTCAGGAATTGTTAGCACATAAGGGAGAATTGTTTGGTTTGTTAATAGTTCTGTTAATTTGTTCACTGTTAGAGTGAGATAAATAAATTGTTACTTGTTGGTTATAGAGTGACTGTCAGGAGTTCATTTCATTTAACTTCCCCTTTATAACAGAAGGTCGGCGGGGGGGAGTCAGTGAGAGGCAGATTATATTACTTTTCACAGTTCATTCAACAGATTATGAGATGAGGCAAGCTTCTCTGGGTTTTCTGGTTTTAGTTATGGGGGCGGTGGGGTCACACTCCGCTTTGTTACATAGCAAATTGCTTTAGTATGACCCTGATGAGTGGACTTGCTGCTAATTCAAACTGCCATCAGCAATCTTTCTCCAGGAAGACTGGCAATTAGGAGACTGAAACAATACATCTCCTTTAATCACTTTCCTTACAATGAGCTAAAAATAAAAAGGTAATTAGGTTCTTCTTACAAGTCTGTCTGAATCTGGTTATCTTTAATCTCACTACATTAACACTATCGCTAACCTGCAGGAATCATAAAAGTATAAAATTGAGAATTAGATTGTTTATCAATTTTTACTTCAGCTTAGTTTGCAAATGTTCAATGCCCTTGTACTTAAGAGCATGCAGCATAAATAGGTTTATATCTGAAGTTAAGAAGGTTCAGCTGAACCAACTTGTTCTAAATAGTCTCCCAAACAAAAAAGCCTGAAGGATCTAATCTTTGGCTGCATTTTTTTGGCCACATCCTGTTGTGCAGTTTAATTCAGATAGCCTTAAAACTGAAACAATGTTCATAATCACATGCTTCCAACTTTGAAATAACAATTCATGGGTTTTTAATTTACATGAATAAAAGATGTTGTCGGAATATTTGAGTGACTAACACTTAGATACATATTTCCTTTTACACTGATGCACTTGATATTTGTCGATTATATTCCAAAAACTGGCAACAAAATTATACTTTTAAACTGACAACCAAGGCCTCTGACAAGGTATTAAGAAAAACCGCACATCTAGTTGCAAATGCTAGGACAGTAAATTAAGGTTCAAAACATTGAAGGGGTGTTCTTTGAGCCAAAAAGACTAGCCATTTTTGCTAAAGATTATGTACAAAAGCCAAAATTTTGTTCATGTTGCAACTTTAAGATCCTTACAGGGCCTTTCCAGATTTTAAACATTGTTTGTGATAGTTGATTGAAAACAAACCTGTGTAATTAATAAATTACAGGATTATAAAGCAAACTCATCTAGGCAACCATGCAACAAGAATGTACTGTTTTAATACATCGGTTATTTGTAATGGTATGTTCACAATACGTTATAATCTGCATTTACAGAAGGAGCAATGGGTTAATTTTAGTGAATTGCACAGGACTATTTTAATGAATGTCCAATCATGGCTCGCTGCTCACTTTGGTGACTTAACTTTGCTCACTCCAATTAGTTCAAAATTGCTATTTTCAGCTTGAACCAAAAAAACCACCAACAATTATTTTGAGTCATTGCCAGGAAAAGAATATGCCAAATTACATCGGTATGATAGCTTTACCAATTCCAAAAATAAAACAGCTTTTTGTTTGGGAAGGAATCTAGTTAATTTCAGAACATCTTTCCAGTGTTTTTAAAAAAAAAACATGGCTGGAGTTTTTAAAAACAAAATGTTGGTCTCCCAGCTGAAACCATGTAAAAGGTTTTGCTTAAGTAGTCTTCAATCATAAAAAAATAAGCTGGTCCAATTAGGAGATTATAATACAGCAACTACTTTCTATTTAAAAAAAAAAGGGCAATAAACTCATCAATAAAATCGCAAGTGCAGAGCCTCTGTGTGACTCGCAAATTACACAGGATTCTGCTGATTACTTTCAATGTTTTGTTTTCAAATAATTTCAGGATTGTGCTACCTAACTAACTAGCTTTGGATTATTTTAAAAAGTGTTATCTTGGATTAGTTAATTTAATGGCACGTTATTCTGCAGTCTGATTTGCAATGTCCTAAAGTTGATAATTAATTTAGTCTTCAGTTCAATTTTCATGAAAAAAGATGGAATCTCAAAACACACTAAATGGTTATGAGAGAGAAAAGAAAGAATTGAAACTTAACTTACGATCAGGAAGTTGCACCTCTCTGTATCTGGTAAGTTGACTGGGAAGAAGAGGTTTAGTATGAGCATGCTGAATCAGGGTGTCTTCGACCATTTGTAGAATACTCAAAGAAGTCTAGAATAGAGAAAATAGATTAAAAGCTTAAGAAAAAAGCTAACATCTTTGAATTGCACATTTTTATTGAAGCTCATCTGAATAATACTGTTACTAACTGAAAAATAGAAAATGCTGGAAAGATAAAGATCAGCTGGTATTTATAAAAGAGGGAAAGATAACTGGTTATGACATTCCACATGTACACCCTCCATCAGAACTGGATGATGAACAAGCAAGCACTTTAGTATGACAAAGTATGAAAGAAAGATGAGGGGTGAAGAGGAAAAAAAACGACACGTATACAATTTATCCCAGCTCCGCAGTGGTCTCCACAAAATAGCTGTCAATTTCTACTTTGATAATTGCAATCTTTAAAGTTATTCCTGTCTAAGATGAAACAATATGAACTTCAAAGAAAAAAATCTAAACACTTTTTAGTGTACGGCAGGAAATAATGCAAGAGAAAGCCACTACACAAATGGTACAATGTTATTTTTTAGTTTAACATTTGGAGTAAGAAACAATTTTTAACATTTTATGCTTTGCTCAACAGGTGATGGCACAGTGGTGAGTTGACATTTTAGCTTAATTACAATCACAAACCCACTCAAGACAGTTACTTGAGTGTATCCAAGGAATATTTCTATTCCAAGCAAAAGCAGTTAAGGTGAGCTGGTTTACAATGAGCATTTTTAGGTCTCTAGTTGGGATTGGGTTTACATTTACAGGATTGCGAACTAAAGGAACAGGAACAGAAAAAGGTCAAATGTGCCACAGTAGACATCACTTGTTGACTGTAGAGAGGAAAGTTAAATAAATACTGTTTGCAGACCAAGGTCAGAATTGATTAGTGAAGATGTACATTTGTGAATAGAACAGTGAAAGAACTTGGTACTGATCTTAACTTGCACCCAGTGTTAAAGGGGCAGCAATTACATTGAACTATTAGGACACTTGTGTTGCTGGTGTGCAGGCAGTTGATACTTTAGGATGAAATGACAGAAGACTTACTGCTTTAACAGGAGGCAGCTAAAAATATGCAAATAACAGTCCTACCAAGTATAGGATCAGGACTATGATTTCAAGGTACAAACTGAATGCAACATCAGCTTATGGGCTTTGCCCACCTGCAGAAAACACTGAACTGTCTAACCAATAACCTTTAAAGGAGGAGTGTGTTCGTGGGCTTTCAGGTGAACTCTCGCTCCTCAAACCAAAAACAGAAGCTAGAAGTGTCTTGCCTTGCACCTATCTTCAAGCTACAGAAAGTGCTTGCTTCACCAGCAGTTCATTGCAAATGAGACAGCAAACTCAAAATGGCGCAGGACTCACTAGAAACAGTGGGCATTACCTGCCTGGTTAAGTTGGGCTTTCAGGAATCCATCTTGCCCACCCATTCAAAGCAGGATGCACCCCTCGTCCGATGAGAAACAGAAGAGTTGCATGAATATCTCACATGTCCTCACTTACTTTTGCAGGCTAAGAAAACAATGATGGACATTCCCTCAGGAAACAGAATGGATAGAATCTCTTTATCGGTTGGAAGACACGTGCACGGATCAGTGGGCTGAACAGACAGGACTGACATTCCTTAAAAAAAAGCATATTTTCTCTTTGCATTGAGCTTACTGTTGAACTTATAGCATCAGGATGAGCTAGCTAGACATCTCTATTGTGCTTTTCTCCAAAATTATAGTGGCCTTCAAAAGAAATGCTGTGCTCTGCCATGAAATCAATGATGGATTACAAAAAGCAAGCAAATAACATTGATTTATGAAGTGTTTGGATCGCATCCCACACATCCCTGCCAGTGTTTTAATAAACAGTCAATCTAGATCGGACTGGGATTCTTCCCTGGTCCTCGTTGAATTAGACCTTACCCAATGTAATATGATTAGTCTTAGAATCTCTGGGTTAGTGAGGCGTGGGGAAAAATATTGCCGCTCCCATTTCTGATTGCTAATACGAAGTAAGATAAAGGCTATTTTTATAAGCTACTGGTAAACAACTGAAATTCATCGAACTTCAAACAAACATTGAGAAATCAAAACCTTTCACAAAAGAAGAAAATTATGATCAAGTGATCATTTCAACTCAACTCCAATAGGTTTGATAATGCCAACTAACATGAAAAGTTTTATGCCATACCTCTTCAGGCAACAGTTCTGCAACAACTCCCAACACTATTAAAAACATCCAGTTTATATTAAAGGATGGCTCCTAATATATAGGCTGTTGTTCAAATTCGAATTGGATCATTTATTGTCACATATATTCAATGTAAAAATACAGTGAAAAGTGTGTATCTTCACCGTGCATACATGACGCCATTCACATTAACTTTGGAATAAGAAAAAAAAAACTTGACAGTCCAACTTCCCTTTCCTCCGCCGCCATCCCGCTCCGGGCTTTCCAGCCCCCGCCCTGCCTCCGCCGCCATCCCGCTCCGGGCTTTCCAGCCCCCGCCGCCATCCCGCTCCGGGCTTTCCAGCTCCCGCCTTGCCTCCGCCGCCATCCCGCTCTGGGATTTCCAGCCTCCATCAGCATCCCGCTCCGGGCTGCTTCATTTGTCCGATCTTGCTGCTGCTGCCACCTCACTGGCCCTCTCTCGCCAGCTCACTCTTGATCCACCGCTGTCGCTCCGGCCTATGCTCCATCGACTGTCACCACAGGACACAATCCACACATTCAGCTGCTGCCACATGGTTCCCGGTTGCCACCCACCTTCTTCCAGACTTCTTGGGTAGGTCGTTAAAAGGGGTGGGGGAGGAGGATAGAATTACTACAGAGATAGAGAGACAAAGGGAGAGAAAAAAAGGAAGGACCAAGAAAGAAAAGAGAAAAAGAGAACTGGCAAGCAAAGTCAAGCTCCGAATGGAGCGTCTTACCCTGCCGCCATCTTGCCATTTGTTTCATGTGTTGGGAAAACAACATTCTGCATTGACAGGGCAAAGTACCATATATTACCAATATTGTAAAAATCCTTGCTGGCCTACACGTCTTGGGGACAAATTTCTGCTTCACAAGCTGTTCCACCAAAATGTAACCATTTTACATGACAAGCAAACATCTCCCTATGTGAGGTATGCTCTGTGTTCTAATGCACTTGTTTTACAGCTTTGATAAATCGATCAGCAACCAAGAAAATAAAATAATAAAAAGAGTGTAAGCACCAGAGGTTCATACCATTAAGTGAGTGAGACTTCTGTCCAACCAGGAAAAAATGCAAAGTAAATACTTACGTTAACAAGATACTGCATCATTTCCAAATATCCTCACCCAGTTGTCAAACTGATGAAACAATTTTATTGGTCAAGTTGTTTAAAATATTCTACCTAAGGTTCAACTTAAACTTCAACGACTGACAGATAAAGCACAACTAGGTCAGTTCTGAAGCAGCAGTCCACTATTAAACCAATAGCTGATTCTTAAGCAGGCATGATGACTTTTTGAAGGAACATTTTCTGAAGTGACTAGAGACAGCATGTCACATGGCTATCATTTTTAGAAGTGTAAGTGTGGGTTGAGCTCATTGTAGAGTCTTACAGCAAACAGAGGCAGTTTGGCTCTCTGTGGCTGTGTTGACTCATTGAATGAACTATCCACATTGTCATTTGCAAAAAGAGCAGGGGAGAGAGATGATCTTATGTTATTTCAGCGGCTTCAGTATTTTGTATATTTGTGGATTCCTGCCAAAACCTGCTGGCTTCTCTTCTGTATTTAACAGTTCATTGTTAATGTAAAGTTAATGGGTATAACTGACATTTGTCAAGACAAAACACACATTTTAACAGAAAAGTATTAACTTCGGAACCTGGATAGGATGTCATTGTGACACAAATGATATGTTCATTTTGGTGATTTAACTTTTTTACTTAAAGCACCAAACCTTATTTTTAGAACTTCCTATTTGATGAAGTTTCTCTTTTTGCAAAATCCACAAATTGAATAAAGCAATCTTAATGCAAAAAGTATTTAAAAGAAGGGAAATCCTTTGCGTAGCCATCAATGGACCCGAAATGTTAACTCTGCTTTCTCTCTACAGATGCTGCCAGACTTGCAATTTGTGTTTTGGTTTCCGATTTCCGGCATCCATAGTTCTTTGGGTTCTGCTGGGCATCAGACTTTCAGAAGGATGTGGAGGCATTACAGAAGGAGCAGAAAAGATGGAAGAATAGCATGAGGAACTTTAGTTAATTGATAGAATGGAAAAGTTGGGACTGTTCTCCGTGAAGAGTAGGCTGAGAGGAGATTTGACTGAGGTATTCATAACCACAAGGGATCTGCTTAGAGCAGGAGAAGGAAAAACTGCTTGCATTGGTGGAGGGATCAAGAATAAGAAAACACATACTGAAGGCAATTGGCAAAAGTAATAATGGCAGGATGATAGTAAAATTTTTATGCAAGTGGTTAATATCTGGAATGGACTTCCTAAGAACGTGGCAGAGGCAGGCTCAATCAAGAGATTTAAATGGGTTATCAGAAAAAGAATGCACACATTACAGGGCGAAGACAGGGGTGACACCAGATGAACTGCTCAACTGGAAAGCTGACACAGACACAGCAGTCTGAAGGGCCTCCTTATGTACTGTAACAATTGTGTTATTATTGCTTTGTACAATTGTAATTCTACCATTCCACAACAGGATCCATGTTTCTGAAAATGGACACTGATCCAGAAGTTAAAAACATTTCAACATATTTGACTTCTAGTTTCAAACCAAAAAAATTACTGCAATAGGAATGCATGGTAGATTAGTATACTTGTTAAATTAATGTGTGTGAGTTGTGAGAATATCCTCCTTTAGTTCAACTGAAGGTAAGTAACCAACCTGTCTTGTTATATTGCCATGGAGAAGAGCTTCTATATGCAGTCGTGACAACAGTTGAGGTATAAAGGCCTTGAGACGAAGGAGAGTGACATCTGGAACAGATTTTCAGACAGCTAAATCAATCACACTTCTTAAGAAGAGATATATATATATTCCATTGCTGCAGAGGACCAACTGAGAATGCCATAATGCATTAATTAGAAAATGAGAATGTGCAACTATCATTTATTCAAAGTTGATTTTCTCCAGTGAATGACACAAGTGTACTTGTTATTTGTTCTACATTCACTGTGCTTCCTCAAATAACAGTTTATCTTGATTCAAAGGCCACTGTTTGAAAGGTCATAACAGCAAGCTTGAGCAATGATGCTGAAAAATATTTTACAGATTCATAAATAAAAATTATGATTCAATGTAACACCAGTTCAGTGATAATAATCTTTCTACACACAATTAAATACAGAGTGAACAAGATTTGGCCAAACGAAATCTATGGAATGATTAAAATGAGCAAGTTAAAACATCATCTGTAATATTTATCTTTGGTTTCTACTTGCAAAATTTCATTGACTGCAAAGAAAAACAGGATAGAAAGATTGCAATTGCAGAGCATGACAAGTATTTAAAATAAAGATTTACCTGTAAAGTTGTAAAGAGATTCCATGTGAACCAACATCCCCTCGTTTGTTCTGCATGACCTATTTATTTAAGTGCAGGTAGCCTTAAACTTTTTGCTTGGCCACACAAAATATATTTAAGTGGATGACTTGTATGTGCCTGCTCAATACCTTCCGCGTTGCTGCATGGCTATAACAAGAAACTAATTTGGAAGGAACATGAAGGGACAGTGTAATTTCAAGAACTGACATGCATCCAACTTCTTAAAACAAAAATTATTAACAGGGTGTGGGCATCACTGGCTAGGCCAGCATTTATTGCCCATTCCGAATTGTTCGCAGAGGCAGTCAACAGTTTACATTGCTGTGGGTCTGGGGTCACATATACGTCAAACCAGATAAGGATAGCAGGCACTCTCTCTCATGGAAAGTGAACCAGATGTGTTTTTCTGACAACTGGCAATGCGTTCACGATCATCAATAGTCCTTAACTCTAGTCAATCTTCCCTATGACACCATGTACACTGCTTCAATACAGAGCCGAACACTTTTGTTGTTACTGTTAAGAATGCAACAAACTATCTAGAGTAAATACTGAAATAGCAAAAGCTGCCAATTTAGTCAGAGATATACAGCACGTATCCTGCAGTCCAACTCGTTCATGCCAACCAGATATCCGAAATAAATCTAGTCCCATTTACCAGCATTTGGCCCATATCCCTCTAAATCCCTCCTATTCATATACCCATCCAGATGCCTTTTAAATGTTGTAATTATACCAGCCTCCAACACTTTCTCTAGTAGCTCATTCCATTGGCACACCAGCCTCTGCAAGAAAAAGGCCTCTTTTAAATCTTTTCCCTCTCATCATAAACCCATGCCTTCTAGTTTTGGACTCCCCCACCCTATGGAAAAGACCTTGTCTATACACCCTATCCATGCCCCTCTTGATCATAAAAACCCTCTGGTCACTACTCAGCCTCCGACACTCCAGGGGAAATAGTCCCCGTCTATTTAGCCTCTCCCTACAACTCAAACTCTCCAACCCTGACAACATCCTTGTAAATCTTTTCTGAGCCCTTTCAAAGTTTCACAACATCCTTCCTATAGCAGGGAGGCCAGAATTACATGCGTATTCCAATAGTGGCCAAACCAATGTCCTGTACAGCTGCAACCTCACCTCCCAACTCCTATACTCAATGCACTGACCAATAAAGGCAAGCATACCAAATACCTTCTTTACTATCTTGTCTATCTGCAACTCCACTTTCAAGGAACCATGAATCTGCACTCCAAGGTCTCTTTGTTCAACAACACTCCCCAAGACCTTACCATAAAGTGTACAAGTCCGGCCCTCATTTACCTTTCCAAAGTTCAGCACCTCACATTTATCTAAATCAAACTCTTTCTGCCACTCCTCAGCCCATTGGCCCATCTGATCACTGCAACTCCAATTTTGTTGTCATCTGCATACTTACAATCATACCTCCTACGTTCACATTCAAATAATTTATACAAATATTGAAAAGCAGTGGACCCAGCACTGATTCTTGTGGCACATCACTGGTCACAGGCCTCCAGTCTGAAAAGCAACACTCCATCACCACCCTCTGTCTTCTACCTCTGAGCCAGTTCCGTATCCAGATGGCTAGTTCTCCTTCTATTCCGTGTGATCTAACCTTGCTAACCATTCTACCATGAGGAACTCTGTCAAACACCTAACTCAAGTCCATATAGATTATGTCCACCTCTCTGCCCTCATCAATCCTTTTTGTTATTTCTTCAAAGAACTCAATCAAGTTAGTGAAACATGATTTCCCACACACAAAGCCATGTTGACTATCCCTAATTAGCCCTTGCCTTTCTAAATACATGTAAATCCTATCCCTCAGGATTCCTTTCAACAACTTGCCCACCGCCGATGTCAGGCTCACTGGTCTATAGCTCCCTAGTTTTTCTTTACCACCTTTAAATGGTGGCACCTGGTTATGGAAGTCAATCTATGTCTACAACGATATCTTGGGCCTGCAAGCGTTGCTGTACTGTTTGGTCAAACCACTCTCAGCTGCTTCAATAACTTTCCCTCTGTCATAATGTTCAATTGCTTGCCATACTAGAGAGTCAGAGCAGAAATTCCTAATTTTTTCCTCCTCCCCATTTAAAAGCAACCTTTCCATTCATTTCAAGCAGCTTCTGCGAAGCTGCGGCATTATCCAGGGACTTGACCATTTCAGACAGGCATATAATGAAAATCAGATACCTATCAAATCCAGTTTATAGTTGTACATGGACCTCCAAGTCCCTTGTGCTCAGTACCCTCATTGGGCCCGATGAACACTTGAGATACTCTGGCCTCTGATCTTGACTTTCAGAAATCATACAAGTCAAGCTCAAGTGTACTGTGCAGACATGGTAGAATTGGATCCAGTGCTGCGTGTCAGAGAACCCAAGGTGCTCCAATGAGTCACAAAGTTTTACACAATGTTACCACAGTAACAGGATAATACTACAAAATACAGTATGCTGCTGCTGTCCTAAAGTAACAGACTGTCATGCTTACCCTGAAGAATGTTTTTGTGTCATAAATTTCAGCAGAAATATAATTTTTTTTTGTACAGAAATATAGACATTCAAGTAATTACCTAATTTTAGTTTACCTACATTTTGTTTTCGGTTGTTAAGCGTCTACAAATGTGTGTTGTTATGGCAACAGTACACTGAAGTTCTCAAGGCAGTCTAATATTACGTTGTAAGAATAATAACACAAGAAACAGAAATTTTTGGCCATTCAGCCCATCCTGGTTGCTCCAGCATTCCATTAAATCATGATCTAAATCTGGCCTTAACTCCTATTCCTTCGATACCTATGAAATCATTGTCGATTGTTGGGAAATCCTATCTGGTTCAATAATATCCTTACCTAGGAATACACATGACTCCAGACCCACTGCAACATCACTGACTCTTAACTTCTGAGCAATAAATGCTGGCCTACCTAGTGCCACACACATTGCGTGTGTGTGTGTGTGTGTGTGTGTGTGTGTGTGTGTGTGTGTGTGGAAAAGAACTGTCATACCCTTTGACTCCATCATAGAAGAAAATTTTGTCCAACTTGGCCTTGAATATATTCAATGACCTAGTTTCCATTGCTCGTTGGGGTAGAGAATTCCAAAGATGAATGATCCTCAAAGAAGAAATTATTCCTCATTTCATTCTAAGTGGGAGAACCCACAATCCCAAACTGTGTCACCTAGTTCTAGGTTACTTCAAGGAAACAGTTCCAGCAACAACCCTGTCAAACTCTCTCAGAATCTTAAGTATTCCAATAAGATCACCTCTCATTCTTCGAAACTCCAATGATCAGAAATAGGTTTAAATACTCATCATCATCTAGACTTTTAAACATTGAAGATTACAAAACAAAACGAGTTAGATGTATCAGTATATTTACATCCCAATTATTCCTTTGGTGAAACATGAATGATGAGTTAATACAACTGTGACAAGCCTAAGTCAAAACAATCTGCAACACTTAAAATACTTGAAGAATCACATTTACTTGTTTGATCACTTTTTCAGTGACTCCTAGCTTTTCTTATGTTATAAATGGGTATTAGGTATTTAATAACAGTCGGTTAGAGACTGGCTTTCCTGATGGAATGGAAATTACGTACATCTGTTGATGTAAGAATAACACAGCTGGCAATAGCCACTAATTTGTTAATCTCATTCATTGGCCTCAGGTTGGCTGGTTCAGGAAATGAAAAATGTCACTGGTGTTAAAATGGATACTTCTCGGAGGTATGACTTTTGGAGCAAAGCAGATCTTTACTCTGCATGTGACACTGTTATACATAAACTAGAGTCCTTGTTACTGATACCTGGGTAAATGGGTGGATCACCCAGGTATAACATCTTTAATAAAAAAAAAGTGACTATTAACCATATTGCATCATAATTTTGACAGGTTTCACAAGTAAAATGCAATCAAGTCAATACATTTTAACAGAGTGTTCTGTTTCTTGCAACTGTTGCAAAGTATTTACAACTCAAAGCACCTACCTTCCAACGCTTCCTTAAGTTCATCTTTGGTCCATGCCACCTCAGTCATTAACAGTCTGAGGTAGTACATTGCATGCTGGTGAGGTTGCTCGGCACGAAAATTATTCAAGGATCTCATATACTATAATAAAAAAGAAGAATAAAAATAAATAAAGAACTGCCATTAACACACTCCAAGTAGGTGAATGTCTCTGGCAAAATAATTCATTTAAGATTAAACATGGTTTTTATATTTCAAATGAACAGCACATTACAGAAATAGTGTGTAGCTCACTACAATCAAATGCAACACTTCGCACCTGAATTAAAGGCTGAGGTTCAAGTCCTAGCTGAGCCAGAGGTACGTAATGACATTGCTGAACAAGGTGATTAGAAAATATAAAAAAGCTTTCAGCAACGAATGGGCAAGAAAAAGTGAATGTCACTAAATGCTGCATGATAAAGAACGTGCTTTTCTCCAAATGTTGAATCAGACTTTCAATGAATTAATTTACTAGTACTTGCTTTGCAGATCAATCTACTGCTGTGTTGTAAAGATAAAACTCTATTTATGATAATGGTGTAATCATAGTAAATTTAAAAGGTGTAGTAACTCGAATAGTTTGAGAAATGCAGCAATTTGATAACTTTAAAATATAAGCTGCACGTCTTGACAACCTTGTTGTTCTTAAGGGCTGCCTGTAATTGATAACAAACTGGTTGAGGCCCAAAAGGACATAGCTGCTGGACTGGGTCTGTGGCTGATGTAGGATCGAACAAGAGGGGAATCATACTTGACCACGTCCTTATCAACCTGCCTGCTGCATATGTATCTGTCCAAGACAATATTGGCAGGAGTCAGCATCAAACAGTCCTTGTGCAGGTGAAGTCATTTTCACATTGAAGATATTGTGTTTTTGTGCCAGTGCAAAAGAAAATGTTGAAGCATTTTCAATAATCTTCTGCCACAAGTGGTGTGAATGGCCCATCTCAGCCTCCTCTGGAGATCCAGGGATCAAGGATGTCAGTTTTTAGTTAATTCTATTCACTCCACGTGATAAAGAAATTGATAAAAGCACAGGATATTGCAAGGATTACAGGTCCCAACAACATCCAACAGAAGTACGAAAAGGAATTGCACTTCAGGTGTTGCAGTGCTCCTAGCCAAAACGTTTCTGCATTGTGATAACATCGGCATCTACAAGACAGTGTAGAAAATTGCCCAAATACGAATCCAACCTGGCCAAATACTACTAAAATAGTCCACTTTTGCTCATCAATAAAATGATGGAAGGTTAAATAATAGTGCTATCAAGTGATATGCCCAGTTTGAGTCCAGGGCCACTCAGCTCCTGACCTCATTACAGCCTTAGTCCAAACATGGACAAAAGAGCTGAACTCCAGAGATGAGCCAAGAATGAATGCCCTTGCTAATGAACACCCAGCGTGGCACCAAGACTCCCTAGCAAAAATAAGCTCTACCTAGTTGAAGAGAAGGAATTACTTGGATTAAAAAAAACCATTTTAAAACATTTGACATTCATTGATAAGCAGGAAAACCAGAGTTTTTATTCAGTCGCGGGATAAGAGCGTTGCCAGCTGGGCCAGTACTTATTGCCCACCCTTAATTGTGCAGAAGGCAGGTAAAAGTCAACCACATTTGTGGGTTTGGAGTCACATATAGGTCAGAACAAGTAAGGATCTCCTTCCCTAAAGGACATTAGTGAACCAAATGAGTTTTTCCTGACAACTGGCAATGGATTCATGGTCATCGTTAAACTCTTAATTCCAGATTTTTAATAAAATTGGATTGGAACTCAGAACATTACCTGGGTCTCTGGATTAACAGTCCAGCGATAATACCGCTAAGCCATCACCTTGTCTCAGCAGGTCAGGCAGCAATTGTCAGTTCTGAAGAACCGTCACCAGACCTGAAACATGAACTCTGCTTTCTCTCCATAGATACTGCCAGACCTGCTGAGTTTCTCCAACAATTTCTGTTTTTGTTACAGTCTATTACCATCTTGCTAACGAAACTGAATACTAAGTTCTGGCAACATATGCCATTCTGTCCAATGACCTAGATGATATGATTTTCAAAACTGGAAAGTTTTAATCTGTACTGCATGCCAACAAAAGGTTTGATGCAACTAGTTAGTACCAAGTTCAAATCCCTTAAAATTTTGAAAACCTTCAACTGGAACATTTGAACCATAAAATATAGGCAATTTAACACTTACCTTTCAGTAATTTACAAGACAATGTTTAAACTGGATCACTGCTCAAACAAATTGAATTTGACTGACCTACATTGCAAATTAATTTTGTCTAGCCAGTGCAGACATATTAAACTACAGAATCTGATGGCCAACACAGATCTTTTCCCAAACCAATTAATAGTTGGGTTCTTCTCACAATAGACTAAAAATTCAGATCAGTTAGCTGATCAATAGGAAATCTTATTTTCATACTCGATATTAAACTGCCAGTGGTAGTCACTTGGTTTCTCTCTCCCATTGTTCGTAATAAGCAAACTTAGATTAGCAAATGTTTAATCAAACACCAAAATCTTTTAAGTTTTCTTCATTATGCTTCTCCAACTTCCTTCACCTTCTACAATTAATAACATTGGTAGAATTGAGGTCTGGAGGTGTATTATTACAATTTCATTTTTAATATATACCTTCATTGATTCCAATAAAGTTCCTGCCCTTAGAGTTACTTTGATTTATTCTTGTCGGGGTGCATGTGCATGTGCTTTGGGTGGGGTGTCAAACTTCACGATTTGGAACGGACAAAGGCAGCCAGTATTATGAAAAGAATATACTGAAGTCAATACTAAGATATAGAGATGCTGCTCCTGTGTATTAAGATATTACAACTTTATGCAAATTGACAAAATAATAGAAAAGCAAACTACAGTAGATGCTGGAATTCCGAAAACCCTAGAAATGTTCAAGTCAGACAACGTTTAGGGAGGCAGAAACAAAGTTAATGAGAAGTTATAATTTGATAAAATGTCACCTTTTCTCATCTCTCCAGAGATTTGATAGCACGTTCCAACTCTGCAACCTCTACCACCCAGAAAGGTCAGACAAGATCACTAGCACCTGCAAACGCCCAAGTAACACAGCAACCTGATTTGGAAATATGTTGCTGTTCATGCACTGCTTCGGACCAAATCCTGGAACTCCCTCTTTAACGGTACTGTACCAACACTACATGGACTGCAGCCGTTCAAGAATGTATTCACATCACCTTCTCAGTGGCAATGAGGGATGGGCAACACATGTTGGCATTATTAGTGATGCCCACATACCGGATACTGCCAAAATTGCAGCATATTACTGGGGGAAAAAAGTGAAATGCTAGAAATGTCTATGAGCCAGGTTAATCTGACCCAAACGATAACCCATAGGAATGGTCATACATCACCAGAATTCCCAAAATTACTGTTTATTGCAAAGATCATAGTTAAACAAGAGATCTAACCAAAGTTCATGAACAGAGCAGCGGAACAATTCCAATATGATTAGTTTTTTTTTTAGGTGCTGCTTTAATGTCCAATTATTTTACAATTATTTAAAAACAGTTTATAAACTTAGCTTATGTTACAGTTGGAAATTTCTCATAACATAAGGCCTTTTCATTCCTCATAACATAAGGCCTTTTCATTCCTCAAGCAAACAAACTGGATTATCTCTCAATATCTGAGACAACAAGGTGCAGGGCTGGATGAACACAGCAGGCGAAGCAGCATCATTCCTACTACCTCTCAATATCTGTTGTTGCGAAGTTGGGTACAGTACTTCTGAATTGGAAGGCAGGAATTTAGAATTTGGTGTCTATAAAATGCTAGGTGGGGAGAGAAGGGTGAGGTCCCTTTAAAAGATAATATGCTTTTTCTATGCTTAGAAATTCAAAAAGGATGTCTGTGGGCAGCAGCTTGTGGGTTTGCAAGTGCACAGAGCACTTGAATTGAAACATGTACCAAAAAGCTGTACAGTTAGCAGGCCAAACAAGTTTTGTTTTGTTATCAAAACAAAGAGTTTTGATTTTTAGCAAATCCATTTGAATCAGGCACTTAGATACCAAAATCGAATTAAATTTAAACCTGATAGTTTTGACAACATAGGACCAATCCTACTGTAAGAAACTGTTGTCATCAAGGGTATAAAAGGAGAGGGTAGTTAGAAAATACAAGAGAATTAACTGCAACCTGCCGGAGTTAACAATTCTCAAGACAGCATTGTTGGGTCTCAGTCTCCTCTGAGTTTTAGAGAGAGCACCATCTAAATTGAAGGTGCCTACGGCACAACTAGTTAATATTCCTGACAGAACATTTGATGGAGAAGGCACAAAGCTTTCCAGAAGACACATAATCTGGCTGCAATTTCAAGAGACTAAAATGCGTTATTTTTTATTTTATGTAAGTGAAACTTGTATTTATTGGAACAACTTACCATTAGAATCTTGTTTTATTCAGGAATAGACAGTAGTTAGAAGGGGTTTATTTGGCTTGTTAATAGTTTAGTTAACTTGTTCACTGTTAGATAAATAAATAGTTACTTGTTCATTCTAAAGTGTGTGTCAGGGACTTGTTTTATTTAACCACCAGAAGTTGCAGAGAAGCAGATTACACTTATTTTCACACTTATTTGTTTAATAGATTATAAGGCAAGGTCCTCCTCTTTGGGTATTTCGGTTTTAGTGTTTTTTTTTGGGGGGGGGCGCGACTGGCGAACGTCAACTTCCACTTTATGCCATTGTTCAAAACATTTCTAAGAGTGATGGCCTACATTTCTTATAAAATGATTATAATAGATGATTTGCTGATTAACCATCCCATGGATCTAGTCTCTGCAAACATGTTCTTTGAATTGAAACCTCGGATAAAATTGTGTTAGAGATTCTTCTTTCGAATTACTCCAATGAGAATGCCAAGTACCTAGAAGTTTTAATTAACATTATTGGTCTTTCAACATGAAAATGTTCCAAGTAAATGTTCACCATTCATTTATGTGGCCATTCATTTAAAAGAATGGAATGGAAACGAACTTATTTCCTTTGTTTTACACCTAAACTGGACAAAGTAAACTAACTTTCCTGTTAATATTAAAATGAAATGCTTGGATTTGCTCATCACACACCAAGATTTTTGATATTATGTTCTACTTACAGCTTCTTTGATTATTTCAAATCGTTTTTCATCGATGTCAAAGGTGGCCATCTTCTCAATTATCTTCTTGAGAATTATGTGCTGCTTGTCATTGTAGCCTTTCACAACCAGCTGTTGGTAAAGGAGAGGACAGAGGTTTTTGAGATAAGCAATAAATAATAGAAGCTAAAGCGCATGGCTCCAGCCAATTTTCTCTTCTCTTATAGCGATGTAACAGAGGCAGACAAGTAGACAAGCCTCCATTCAGTGTTACATTATTCTGATACCAAATTCCAATTCTCTAGTGATGTGGATACAAATTTTAAAAAGTATTCAAAACATTCAATTTAATACTTTGAAGATTAGAAAACTATTCTGAATTGATGATGTGGCTATGAAAATGACAAATCTGCCTAAATCAACACACTCAACTAAAACTATAAAGCGATATACATCTGAAATGCTGCATGACAGGGCCATTTGGAAATCACCACTTGGACAGGAAGTCTTTGGCATTTGAAGCATCACAACAATTAACAGAGCTCTTTAAGGAAATAATGGAGAACTCTGATTAAAGGTACAGTATTCACTAGTTACCCTTTGAACCCAAGGGAGATCAAGTGACATTCATTGGAAGCCGATGATCAAACTACTGTTACTTTCGACACACTTAGCATATCCCAAGTACAAACATACTTTTTTCAAAATCCCAGCAATTAACTGTTAAAATTAACTGAACAATACATTTTTGGATAAATGTGGTCTAAACAGAGGAAATTAGGGATAAATGAACCACTTCATGAACGCATGTAGATTAAATAAACACAATCTGGTTTGCATTCAATGGGGACATTATCTTTTCTGTCAGGACTTCTGATGACTTGTATCAACTTGAATACCTGCCCAAAACTCAGTACAGGCAGACATCAGAGGTTAGCAGAACTTTGTCACTTTCATCATAACTACTGCCCACTGATACCTGAAACTGAGGCAGCACTTTGGTGAGGAATTAGAGCTTCACATGTATATATCACAGATTAATATCAAATGTTTATCTCTCATTAAACATAATATCAAGAAACAATTATTCTTGAACAAATATACAATGAATAGTCAAGCCTAGAGATAACAGAAGTATGAATCAGTGCATGAATAAATTATGGACTAGTTAGTTGAACATCATTCGTGTACAAATTAAATTCAGCATTTAAAGACATGGAATAATCAACCACGGCCAGCATCAATTCTAAAGTCATACCTGGCAGACTTTTTTGAAGTAGTAAGTGATTAGATAAGTAAACAAAAAAGTCGAACATGAAACAAAACACTGTAGCACAAATGGACGAGAAATAAATGGTTTGGGTTTGTGGGTATTAAGAATTGGAAGTAGTGCATTGCAAGTATCAATATTACGTCAGAACTGGGAAAATTACAGATATGACCGGTCTGATGAAAAATCATAATTAACATGTTAACTTATCTTTTGTCTCCACAAATGCTCCCAATCCAACATTTTTGGATTTTATTTTCATTTTTCAGCATCTGCAGCATTTTGCTTATGTTTAAAGACTATGCTGGCTAGAATATGAGCTGAGTTATTGTCAATAGACTAACAACTCCTTGTCTAACAAGTGGGAAACCTGTCAACAAGTAGTAACACATAACTTCTTGATTTAAATACATAAAGCAACTAAATGAGAAAAAAAAAAAGTTACGTTCTAAAAAATAAGTACGGAGACAAGACCAAAGAGAAGTTAAGGTTACACAGTTAATTTGCAATTAGAAGCATTGTGTAAATATTTACAATATTAGTAAAGCCATGAGCACTATTCAATTTAAACTAGTTAGAATGTCAATCAATTATGAGGAAACAATAGAACTGGATCAAGAGAAATTACAGATTTAACAGTACTTTCTAAATCTTGAACAGTTTTGATGGGGTCTCAAAACATTGTCCTGAAGTTTGGCAATGAATGAGTGATCATTTAAAATTGCCACTCAGAGTAAAGACAGGTTTTACGAGATATTTTTTGTGGAAATGTTTTAAAGCATGGGGTGCTTAACCACAGTGAGTAATCAAGACAAAGATGATATGCTTTTTGGAAGAACAGGTAGTATTTTAAAGTGAGCAATACATAGGATTCATGGGAAGACAGAGAAGGGTAGTAGTGTCAGTTTTAGTTTACATTAGCAAAAAAGAGCTGGCAAAAACTCATTCAGCCAAAAAGCCATCTTTCATGTTATAAATTTCTACTACTCACTGTTTCTTTGCAGTAGTAATAGTATCCATGCAAATTAAAGTTAATTTAAATTAAAAATAAATTCCTAAAATGTTCTCCTGTGAAGCTTTGAGTTAGTGACACCAGTATTGGAATGTCAAAATTTACAAATGATAAAAAGTAATATATATGAATAACTAATTTGACTAAAATCAAGTACACAATTTGTACACTCCCACTTGAAATCATTTACCTCTTCAGACCACATTAAACAAATCTCAAATCTTCTTCAACTACTAAATAGTTGCAGGAATACTACAAATCCAAATGCATCTTTCAGGCTTATTAGTTTATTTTAAACATGCAATTTATAATTCATCTAAAAACTGTGAGCAGCTTGTGCATCCTTCAAACACTTCAATCTCAAGCCAGATCTCCTTCCTGCTCTACTTACGAGAATTGAGTTCATTGCTGGAGCAAGTGCATACACCAAGCCTGTGAGGCGAGCTGCATATGTATACTCTTTTAAATCATCTCTCAATAACCTGATATAGAGGTATGTCATGTTGCAATGAAGAGGGTCAACATAAATGTACCGACTAACAAAGAGAACAAAAAGATAAAAGTGTGGCAATAAACCCTAAAGAAACAGGCTGATATTTAACAATGATATTACAATAGGCCACACAAAATATGTTAAGAGTATGTATATGCAGCCTCATGGCTAAACTAATAATCCTACTAGATAGAAGGAGAAAATACTACTTTATCATATGCAGTGGAATGGGAGGCTGGTTTTAGGCGGGTAAACTAGAGAAATAAAGGAGGGTATAAAAATAAACTAAAAGAATTGAGTAAGATAATCCTAGAGACTTACTGTCTCCCTGAATTTGGGTACTTACATACATTCCATAGATTGTATTTTGTAGGTCATAGTTCAAGCCAGCTAGTTCTGCTGCATATGCATACTCGTTGAGAGAATCTTTCAGCAGTTCAAGATACAAATAGGCCATATTACAATGTAATGGATCCACATAAGCAAATGGGCTGGAAGAAAATATGCCAAATATTAAAGTTTGATTCTACGAATTTAATTGATGAAACACAAGTCAATACTTGCACCTGCCTACAAAGCTACACAAATTAATAGAGCAGTTTTTTTTCCCAAATGTCAGTTAAAAATATGATAAGCTTTAAACATATTTTAAATAAGTAAAAAAAAAACATTTTTCACATAACAAATCCTTGCTCACTACACAGGTAATCAAAACTGCAGAATATATTTTAAACTATACACTTGGCTAATTCAATTACAATCACTTCAATGTCTGTACATTCAAACAATAGATTTTTCACTTTGTGCAATACATTTGAAACAAAACATAAATGGGTTTGAGGAATGCCAATGAGGTTGAGTCAATATCCTTTACGAAAAAAAAACAACAATGTAATATGGCTCAAGGTTATATAATATGAATGTACAATTTCATCCTCTCATTGCATTTACTAATTTAATTCCTTGGCAAGAAAAAGCTGGATATGCAAGTGCTTCATTTCTTCACCATGGAAAATCAACTTAAAATAGCTGAGGTACAAGAGTCAGCTCCCGCATGGACTTCAACACATGAATGCAAAGGAAACTATATTTCAGGAAAGCATGTTTTATGGTAGTTTATGGCATAATATAATACTTCAATTTTGTTATTTAGAAGCACTAAACTAATTGTTTTCTCTAGATGAATTTCTACATGCATTACTAGTAGCTACAAACCATATTGCTAAAATAAGCTTATAATTTACTTCAGAACCCAGTAAAAACAATTTTTTTTGATACATGAACAGTGCACCTACAAAAGGAAAATCATTTTATTGGACAAGCAATTTATAGAAGGCAAGTAAAACAAAGATTTAATGCTTGTCAATTTCTATCTCGTCCAACAGGGAAAGCTGTGCAATGAATCAAGCAGGTGGACAGAAATAATGCACAGCAGTATATAATTAGCTTACTCGCGATAGTTTCTTTAATGAAGAAGTGTTTCTATATAGAAGAAAATCTGCTCTCCACCCTGTGAAATACACAGTTTAAGCCATAGACAACATATGCTGTCCTGCATTCAGGTTGTTTAAAACTTATATAGTGAATGCAAAACAAGATAAAAAGAGGAAATGACAACCATTATGAACTTTAAAACAAAAGGAGTCATTATCCAGGCTTCACAGAATAAACTGCTGGCAGCTTTGTGGAATGAACATTGTAGGATCCTTTGTAAAGATGAAAATGTACAGGCCAAACTAATTTACTCTAAACGTGAACTGATAGTTCATTTAAATATTGAACATTGTTTTCATGTTTGCTTATTGACTTTTCAGGCTCTTATCAATGCATCACTCCTCGTCTTATTGTCATCTTTTTAGTACTTATTAATCGACGCCAGTCAGCTGGACGGTTGGTTTGTGATGCAGTGTAATGCCAACTGCATGGGTTCAATTCCCATACTGGCTGAGGTTATCGTAAAGGACTTTCTTTCTCCACCTCTCCCCTTGCATGAGGCATGGTGACCCTTGGGCTAAACCACCACCAGCTGTCTCTCTCTAATGAGAAAGTCCCAGAAGCCTATAGGGCTGCTATGGTGACTTTACCTTCACTTATTAATACAATGAAAACAAACTCAGCAATAATGAAAATCACTTATTTTCCAATGTGTTAGGTTTCTTATATTGCAAGAAAATTATTTCACTGATTGTAAACACTTTGAACATCCTGAACTTGTGAAAGGTGCTATATAAATGCAGGTGTCAGTCCTTTAAATTTGATCAACAGGTGCACAGTGTGACTAGGCATTACCACTATCATGATTCTATCTGAAACAAATTTCAAAACCAACAAAATTGACAATGGCAGGTAGCCCCTATTTATCATCTACATGCTGCCCCTCAGATCAGAACACCTGAAGTTACATGGTCGGGTACTATATGAGTTGCCAATGATATCCAGCTATAGTACACCACCTGTCTTGACTCTTCCACTGTTTATGTATTTTCAAAACTGCTTTCCCACGATCCAGTTCTAGATATAAAGTGGAGTTAAGGGGCTTTGAGAATAAGGAGATTGTAAGAGGTGTGAGCAGGAACAAGGAGATGCAAAGGAGAGAAAAGTTTTAAACCAGTCAAGAAGAGAATACTCTGCCCAGATACAAGAAAACTTCAAATAACTGAAGTAATGAATTCCTTGCTAATAATGTGGAACATCTAGTGCATGGTTGCATAAGTTCAGGACACTACACTTCGATAGCAATAGAGTGGATTCTACTGTAATGAAATGAATTGTTAAATTCAAATCTGAAATTGGGATTCCAGATACAGTAAATAGGATTGTAATAGTCTGTTTAAAATAGTTCAACTTTGTGCATGCGTGATTGCAATGCATTAGCTATACTTCTCTAGGCTGCAAGAAGTGCGCTTCGGGTGAGAATGTTTTGTAAGTAGAAGTGTGTGCCACTTACTTTAATAAAATAACTTTTGCCTGATATCCTTCATCAATCTGAATATTGTGTCATTTAGGAAAGTAACGTTTCTCTTGAATATTGTGGCTTTAAACTGAAAGGAGTGTTAATCATCGGGGATATTAATAAATTAGTGTAATTCTGCTTGGGCAAGACTCCATATACTTCATATGTCAATACAAGCTTGTTTCTTCCTACCGAACGGCATCACCCAATAAATGAGTTAATTAGAACTAAAATGTAACCCCTAAATCCAAAAATAGCCTGCAAAAATAATAAAAATGCCCTTGAGAAAATTTCAAGATCTTTAAAAATGATTATGATCCAATGGTACGCAACCTGAAGTTACAGCTACAAGCTTACACATCCATAATTTTGGAATCACTACACGTGATGTGAGTGTCCATGCATGTTGAGCCAGTTGTTTCCTCTTTTTTGACAAAATCTCTTTTCATTCTTTGCAGCTGAGTACCAAGTGCATTGTTAGTGGAGGATGCAAACATAGAAAACATGTAGTATTTGGATGGAAATTATCTTCCAAACACCACACCCACCTTTTCAACATGCACTGGAGTATGTGCTGAAACATATGCATTGAAACCACAACCTCAAAAAAAAACCACGGTGCTACCAAGTGAAACAAGCTATCAGGTTGAGTATTCCTGAAAAAACACATTTTGCTGAACATAATGTATTGCCCACCTCAGGACAATTCACAAGAAATACAAAAGTAATGGAAAAACAATATTTATAGTGAGTGACAGGAGAGTTAGTGGTAAATACCTAGAAGTTCTAAATATTTTTCAATTAGATGACAACAATTGTTAGGTAGTAAATGACTCTCCACAACGTCCTTACTGCTATTTTATGGAATACAAAGCATTATTATTTCTACTGATAGAACTCATCACCATTTGAGGAACATACCTGAAGAACTCAAAGTTCAAGCAGGCTTTTGGGAGAAAGAATTTGTCATCTTGTTTGAACCACACTTTACTCATGGCAGTGTCCTGTAAGAATACAATTCCCAATCAGAAACAATTTCAAACTTTGTATTCTGTAAAAAGTAAGCATCTTATCGTCAACTAATCTGCCAAATATTTCAATAAGTGAATTCTGAAAGATAGACTGTCAAGTGAAAAAGTGATCATGTAAACAATGGAAGTTTGTTCTGCCTCTTCAGAAATGAAACCAGTCACAGTTCAAAAAATGTTGATAGATACCATACAAAATCCTGCAGTTTTGCTCAAATAATACAAAGTCTTTTCCAACCATTAATTGGGTCACAGTTGGAAAATTATGTCCAGCTTTGGGCATTTTCACTTTTGGAATGAAATCATTGATATGTAGATTTGCAGAAGTTTCACTGACATTACACAAGCTATGAGCAGCTTCAGATACAGAGGGATTGGTGAAATTCATAGGTCTTGGAGTTGTCGTTTGGTTCGCCAAACTGACTGGTTTTCTTGCAAACATTTTGTTTCCTTTCTAGGTGACATCGTCAGTGCTGTGTAGCCACTGACAATGTCACCTAGAAGGGAGACGAAATATTTGCACGAAAACCAGCCAGCTCGGTGAACCAACCACAACCCAAGCTACAGATTTTTGTTAATTCATAGGTCTTTTCAATTTTTTGGGGGCGGGGGTTGGAGAGTACTGGGTCAGTGATTTTAACTAGAAAGTACAGAAATTTAAAAACAAATGACAAGACAGCTTCAAAGATTTCTTTTTAATCACACAAAGGGTTTTTAGCATATGGAAAGGCTTGTCTGAAACAGAATGCAAATATTACAATCCATGCAAAGTTTAAGACAACTTTAACCTTTTGGAATTTTACTAGTGCTTCATGATCTGAAAATTGCATGCTGCCTGGATAGAATCCACAATAAACCATTCATTGCATTGTTTGAGGGGCCAAATAGCCAATCATGTTTTGTTCATTTGTAAATTACTACAACATCTAATGTGTTGCTCAGAACTCTTTCTGTACACACAAGGTGATAATGTTCACCTTCTATTGTCAGAATTATTTTTTTAAACATAAACTTTTACTTAACTTTGAGCTTTTTAAACATAGTAGGCACCTCAATAACTGTCATAATTTCTAAGTAACATAAAGTATGCTTTTCTAAACATTTTTCAAACCATCAGTTGAATATTTCATTACATTTGATCCCAAAAAATGCAGTTCTTTGAAAGCTTCACCATGGAGCAAGTTTACACTTCCAGTTCAAGAGACTTTTCGCAACCGGAATATTCTCAGAATAAAGCACAGTCCGTACTCATGTCGGACCTTAAATGTTCTGCTGCAAGAATGTAACATTCAAAGCCTCAATTGTGTCCTGAATTACAAACTAACCATAAAATCTCTACTGATGAGCTATAAGGATAGAAGCTTGGACCATCCCTCTGTCAAATCATGATACATTTTACATCATTGAATTCATTAGCTCTGAAGACTTGATAGAGAAATGAGAAACATTTCATGATCTCTGACCCAATACATAAAGTCTGGAAAGAGCGTGAACTGCGTGTTGTTACCATACATAAAATCTCCTCTTTTTCTTAAATTACATTTATGATGTAATTTCGGGCAAGTTAACATCACATTAAAATGGTGATGAATATAATCTCATATCCTAATGGAGCAATTCATGCATAGTTATGGTTTACATGTACATTGCAATGCACTATACCACATAGTGGGGTGTTCGGCTCCAAGTGTAATGGTAAGGGAGTTATTTGAATATGACAAGTACCTTTAATACCTACTTTTATCCTGTTATATTAGGGTAGATAGGAGCGTAGTGGTAATACCAAATGTTCAGAAATCCACAGGCCCAAGATTATTGAGAGCAAGATTTAAATCTCACCACAGTAGCTGGCAGAATATAAATTTAATTTTGTCACACTGACTTAATAATTGCGGCCATGAAACAAACACTAACTCTTGTTTTAAAAAACCCATCCGCTTTGCTAAGGTCCTTTAGGGAAGACATGGGCCCATTCTAGTAGCCTAAAGAGAACATCAGTCATAAAAAAAAACACGTTGCCTCTCAACTGCTCATGGAAATGGCCTGGTCAGTCAGGCCCCTCAGCTCAAGCACAATTAGGGATGGGAAACTGTACACATCCTATTAAAGAATAAATAAAAATGGTTGCATATTTAACGTTGCAAGTAGTGGGGTATCCCTAAGTTCAAATGAAAAGCATAAAACCATTCATTTTGCTCATTAATGGAATGTAAGCAATGCTGGCTATGTCAACATCTCAACCACATTACCATATACCTGCAGCTAGAGGAGAGCAATCAGTAATTATTTCTAATAGCATTAGTGAAGTAAACAAATAGCTTTCATATTTGTTCATAAAAAGTAAACATTTAAGTTTGAGAAATGCAACATGAAGTCTGGCCACTGCATGTAAAACATAATTTACCCAGAGTGTCAATACTTTCTCCTTCAGCTGGGTGTATCACAGTACTATCTATCAGCTTATTCAAAGAATATTAGCAGTACTTTATGTATTAAAATAAACTAAATTATTAATTACACACATTTATGTAAATGAAATACCATCACTTGCATGCAATATTATTCAGCTCCAGGGCCAGGAACATTTACCTTAATAAGAGTTGGAAATGGTAGGGCATCATTTTCCAAAGGGAAAATCTCAAAATTTGTGGGAATGAACTCATTCTTCGCTGGCAGTTTGAACTTCCCATTTAGATCTGCATTCTGCCATTTCTGTAAAAAAGGACAAACTGATTTACTGCAAACAGAACGGATTAGTAGCTACTCCTTATGCAGCAAAGGATCCTTTCATTGTCTAAAGGATGATTTTCAGGTTGGGTAAGAGCTATAGACACAAAACAGATTCTACAATGAGACACTGTAGACACGCTCAACATTTACAGCATTATTATGCTCCAAGTCTCAGAAGATTGAGGCTAGTGATCTGGAAAGTATACCTTTGGTGGTCAAAATGTAACAGCATCCAAAAGCTTGTAAACAAGAATGGTATTTTACAAACTGTTGATCTCCTGAAAAAAATAAAATCAGACCCCGGGTGGACACAGAAGGGGTCCTAGACAGCAAGAAAACCAAAGGTGCAACCAACAGCTTTCCTGGAATTGAAAACTGGTACTTGTGTTAGGCTGCTTAAATCCAAAATGTCACAAAGGAGATTAAGAGGACACAGTATGAATCCTGGCCTCGTATGTGTAGATAACAGGCTTTCCTCGGCTGAAAACAGTGGAAAGCCAGACCTCAAAATCCATCTTCCTTCATCTCAACCTTTAAGTCTACACATTGCCACTGTCCAAGTGCCCTACTTGAAATATGCTGTGCTATGTGCAGACATTGTTTCAGGTCTAAATTGTTGATTGCATTTTAGTTCTAATAGTAGAAAGACAGGACTCAGTCCAGCCCTCTTGCTTTGTCATATGTTTTTATTGCAGAATGGTCCAGTAATTTGGTTCATTTTAAAATAATTCTGTCTTATTGAACAGTTTCACATGTCACATTTGAAGTACCAATATAACAGGTTTTGTCAATCATAACTTGCACCATCTTGGAATTCTGGGTGACACACTATTCCATTTTTTGGAGGTTTATATGGCACGTAGAAGTATTTCATTTCCAAATTCTTATCGCTTCATAAAATTCCAGTGAATTCAATCCTCAATAGTTAGGTTGAGCAAATAGTGGAGAAGATATGAGGACAGGGGTACACATGAGAATACATCAGATAGAGAGATCCAGCATCTGATTTGGCAGAAGGAAAATAAAAAGAACCATTCTACTTTATCACAATTCCTCACTAGTATTTAAACCACTCATACCAGAACTAAGCAGTGTCTAATGCTCAGTGTAAAGACAATGGCAAGGGCACGCATCATGAGATGGTGTGAAATTCAGATGGCATAAATCATGGCTTTCCTGTAGGTATTGACAGTTCCAGTCTATTAGCACAAAACCAAGTAAAGCTTTTTCCTGCAAATTAGATTCTCTTCAAATGTAGAAGTATCTCTGCTCTGCACCCACAGATGTATTACACTGATGATCAATTAACTCTGAAGTGCACTGTCTTACTTATCACCATGTTCTATCGTATGATTATAGAAAATAAGGAAAACACTGATCATAACCTTGGTCTACAGAATGAAATAATGGGGGCCTGTGAGAAAGGTGCAGTGATAATCAAGGTCAGCGCTAATCCACATACAGGCTTAACGAATCAGACTGGCGAGAGTAGTTTGGAGAATGTGTTCAGAGAGTGTTTTCAGAAAAGTTTCTTACAGCAGTATGTTCTAGAGCTAACCAGACAGCAGGATACACTAGACCTGGTAACATCCTTGGTGCAATGAGACAGGAGTAATTAATTAATGGGCTTTATAGTAAAAGCACCACTAGGCAGCAGTGATTTTGAATTTTGCATTCAGTTTGAGGAAGAATGGATCTAAGACCAGAGTTTTAAACTTTTAAAAAAAAAGGACAACTGAGGGCATGAAGATTTGGCTGGCTGGAATACTAGGTGAAGGGATAGGTTGGTAGAAATATAGGTTTAAAGAGATATTTCAGAATACTCATGAAATATACATTCCAGTGAAGACAGACAGATTTTAAGGGAAATATGTACCATGTGTGGCTAAGTAAGGAAGTTACAAGTAGTATAAGTTCTGCAAATGTGTGTGGCAGGTAAAAAGATTGTCAGAATACACTGAACAGCAAAGAATAACAGATTGATAAAAGACAGCGAGAAATAAGAATGAGAGAAAGTTACCTAGAAATTTTAAAAAATAGTAGGAATGAATTGAGTGAGTACTGGGCACCTGGAGAGTTTCGAGAATTAATAATGGAAAACAGGGCATGGCAGATGAGTTAAATGCTCATTTTGATCTGACTTTCACTCCCTACAATGAAGAAATATCCCAGAATAGCTGACAGAATGTGAAACGGAGCGAGGAATTTAAAGCAATTACAATCACCAAGGAAGGGGCACTGAGAAAGTTGTTGGAACTAAAATCTGACAGATCTGCTCGCCTCGATAGACTTCATCTGAGGATTTAAAAAGTTGCTGCTGAGATAGTCAATGCATTGGTTTTGATTATTCAAAATTCCATTGGTTCTGGAAAAGGCACCATCGGACTGAAAATTAACAAATATGATTCCTCTATTCAAGAAAGGAAGGACACAAAGTCAGCAGCTATAGACCAGATAGCCTAACATCTGTCATAGGGAAAATAATGAAATCTATTATTAACGAAGTCTTAATAAGATACTTAGAAAATCTTATGCAATCAAGCAGAGTAAATATTTCTTGAGAAAGAGAAATTATATTTAACTAATTTTTCAGAGTTCTTTATTTAAGTAACAAGCAATGTATACAAAGGGACATCTGCTGCATGCAGATTTGCAGAAGGCATTTGACAAGGTGCCACATTAAAAGATAATGACACAAAATAAGAGCTCATGGCATAGGAAGCTATTAGCATAGATAGAGATTGGTTTAGTAATAGGAAATAAAGTATGGGGATAAATGGATCATTTTCAAGTTGATGGGATGTGTTAATTCATGTACCACAGGATCAGTGCTGAGCTTAAATTATTTAATAAAAATAATTATGTAAATTACTTGGTTGAAGGGACCAAAATGAATGGTTGTCAAGTTTCCCGATAACATAAAGACAAGCACCAGAGTAAGTCATGAAAAGAGAATAAGGAGTTTCCAAAGGGATACAGATTGGTTAAGGGAGTGGGCAAAAATTAGGCAGAAGGAGCATATCGTGGGAAAATGTGAAGTAGGGGTGCTTTGCTACACTTCTGGTCTCCAATTTAATGAAAGAATGTAAGTGCCTTAGAAGCAGTTCAGGTAAGGTTCATCTTAACTGATCAACCACACTTCCATCCCTCTCACCCCAATTATAGAGTCATAGAGGTAGAGATATAGAGCACGGAAACAGACCCTTCGGTCCAACTTGTCCATGCCAACCAAATATCCTACATAAATCTAGTCCCAGTTGCGAGCATTTGGCTCATATCCCTATAAACCCTTCCTATTCATATACCCATGCAGATGCCTTTTAAATGCTGTAATCGTATCAGCCTCCAACACTTCTTCTAGCAGCTCAATCCATATACACACAACCCTCAGCATTAACATGTTGTCCCTCAGGTCCCTTTTAAATCTTTCCCCTCCTCACCTTAAACCTATATCCTCTAGGTTTAAACTCTGGGGAGATGACCTTGCCGACTGACCCTATCCATGCCCCTCATGATTCTATAAACCTCTGTAATACCACCCCTTGGCCTCCGATACTCCACGGAAGATAGCCCCAGCCTATTCAGCCTCTCCCTATAGCTTAAACTCTCCAACACTGGCAACATCCCTGTAAATCTTTTCTGAACCCTTTCTAGTTTCACAATAATCTTCTTACAGCAGAGAGGCCAGAATTGCATGCAACACTCAAAGTGGTTGAACCAATGTCCTCTACAGTCACAACATAACCTTCCAACTCCTATACTCAATGCACTGACCAGTAAAGGCAAGTGTACCAAACAACTTCTTCACTATCTTATTTGTGACTTCACTTTCAAGGAACTATGAACCTGTACTCCAAGGTCTCTTTGTTCAGCAACACTCCTCAGGACCTTACCATAAAGTGTATAAGTCCTGCCCTGATCTGCCTTTCTAAAATGCAGCACCTCAATTCCAGATACCTTAAGAAAAAAGAAGTAGGGACGTGAGACAGGGTGGGAGCTGCAGGATGTTTCCCTTTATGGAAGGGGATAGAACAGGGGGTATAATTGAAAAAGAAGGGTTCTCCCATTTATGATGGGAAGAGGAGGAAGTTCTTCTCTAAGAGTCGTGGTGGGGTCATTGAATATTTTTAACGTAGAGGTGGAGAGATCCTTGACTATTAAATGAGTCAAAGGTGATCACTGGTTGGCAGGAATTTGGATTGGAGACCATAATCACATCAGCCATCATCTTACTGAATGGCAGACCAGGCTATCACTACCAAATGGTGTACTGTTCCTAACTTGCATGTTGTGTCTACATGTAAAATCCATGGGTTTAATGTGTCACACCCAAATCCCATCAAAACTGATTTCTGAGACTGTAAAATTTACACTAAATTAGCTAGCTTTAATGCAGACTCTCCACATAGTTTATAAGATCAAAGTACAAGTGCTCATCAAAATACAAGTGCTGCATTAAACAAAAATAAAAGGCAGATCTTAACAATCTGATTTCTGTAAAGTAAAAAAATTGCACAGAAGTTCATTCTGGGTTCCTCTCAAGTTAACACAAAACAAGGGTAACATAAAGCCATGACTGTATAGGATAAAAGTTTCTACATCCAATGGCATAGTGGTATTATCGCTAGACTATTAATCCAGAAACCCAGCTAATGTTCTGGGGACCGGGTTCAAATCCGGGCAGATGGTGGAATTTGAAATCAGTAATAAAAAAATGAATTAAGAATCCACTGATCACCATGAAATCATTGCCGACTGTCGGAAAACCCATCTGGTTCACTAAAGTCCTTCTGGGAAAGAAATCTGCCACCCTCACCTGGTCTGGCCTACATGTGACTCCAGACCCACAGCAATGTGGTTGACTCTCAATTGCCCTCAGAAATGGCCTAGCAAGCCACTCAGTTGTACCAATTCCTACAAAGTCTCAAAGAAATGAAACCAGATGGATCACCTGGCATTGAACTAGGCGCTGGTAAAGACAACAGCGGAAACAGCCCTGTCGACACTGCAAAGTCCTCCTCACTAATATCTGGGAGTTAGTGCCAAAATTGGGAAAGCTGTCTCACAGACTAGTCAAGCAACAGCCTGACACAGTCATAATTACAGAACCATACCTTACAGACAATTTCCCAGACACCATCACCACCATCCCTGGATATGTTCTGTCTCACTGGCAGGACAGACCCAGCGGAGGTGGTGGCACAGTGGTATACAGTCAGGAGGGTGTTGCTCTAGGAGTCCTCAACATTGACTCCAGACCAATGAAGACTCATGGCGTGAGGTTAAACATGGCAAGGAAACCTTCTGCTGATTACCACATACCATCTTCCCTCAGCCGATGAATCAGTACTCCTCCATGGTGAATAACACTTAAAGGAAGCACTGAGGATGGCAAGGGTTCAAAATGTACTCTGGGTGGGGGATTTCAGTGTCCACCACCAAGAGTGGCTCGGCTGCAGTACTACTGACCGAGCTGGTTGAGACCTAAAGGAAATAGCTACTACACTGGGTCTGCAGCAGGTGGTGAGGGAACCAACGAGAGGGGAAAAACATACCTGACCTTATCTTTACCAATCTGCCAGCTGCAGTTGCATCAGTCCATGACAGTATCGGTAAGAGTGACAATCACACAGTCCTTGTGGAGACCAAGTCCTGCCTTTACATTGAGAATAACTTCCATCGTGTTGTGTAGCATTCTCACTGTGCTAAATGGGACAGACTTCGGACAGATCTAGTAACTCACAACTAGGTCTACAGCACCTCCTGGATGCCATCAACAGCAGCAGAACTGTACTCCAGCACAATCTGTAACATCATGGCCCGGCATATCCCCCACTCAACTATTACCATCAAACCAGGGGATCAACCCTGGTTCAATGGAGAGTACAGGAGGGCATGCCAGGAGCAGAACCAGGCATACCTGAAGATGAGGTATCAACCTGGTGAAGCCACCAAAAGGACTACTTGCACACCAAATAGCAAAAGCAGCAAGTTATAGACAGAGCTAAGCGATCCCATAACCAACAAATCAGGTCTAAGCTCTGCAGTCCTGCCACATCCAGTTGTGAATGTGGTGAACAATTAAACAACTCATTGGAGGAGGAGGTTGCAGCACAAATACCCCCATCCTCAATGATGGGAGAGCATAGTACATCAATGCAAAAGATAAGGCTGAAGCATTTGCAGCAATCTTCAGTCAGAAGTGCTAAGTGGATGAACCATCGCCATCGCCATCTCCACCCCCTCCAGTGGTCCCCAGCATCACAGATACCAGTCTTCAGCCAATTCCATTCACTCCATGTGATATCAAGAAATGGTTGGAGACACTGGATATTGCAAAGGCTACGGGCCCTGACAACATTCTGGCAATAGTACTAAAGACTTATGCTCTAGAACTTGCTACGCCCATAGCCACGCTGTTCCAGTGCAGTTACAACGCTGGTATCTACCCAGCAATATGGAAAATTGCCCAAGTACGTCTTGTACACAAAAAGCTGGATAAATCCAATCCGGCTAATTACCACCCCATCAGTCTACTCTCAATCATCAGTAAAGTGAAGGAAGGTGTCAACAGTACTATCAAGCAGCACCTGCTCAGCGGCACCCAGTTTGGGTTCCGCCAGGGCCACTCAGCTCCTGACCTCATTGCAGCCTTGGTTCAAACATAGACAAAAGAGCTGAATTCCAGAGGTGAGGTGAAGTGAAGTGAAAGTGACAGCCCTTGACATCAAGGCTGCATTTGACTGACTGTGGCATTAAGGAGCCTTAGCAAAACTGGAATCAATGGGTATCGGGCGAAAACTCTCCAGTGGTGGAGTCATACCTGACACATAGGAAGATGGTCATGGTTGTTGGAGGTCAATCATCTCAGCTCCAGGCCATCTCTGCAGGAGTTCCTCAGCCCAACCACCTTCAGCTGCTTCATCAATGACCTTCCCTCCATAAGATCAGAAGGAGGGGGGGGCTGGGGATGTCCACCAATGACTGCACAATGTTCAGCACCATTCATGACTCCTCAGATACTGAAGCAGTCCATATTCACATGCAACAAGATCTGGACAATATCCAGGCTTGGGCTAACAAGTAGCAAGTGACATTCGCACCACACAAATGCCAAGCTATCATCATCACCAAAAAGAGACAATCTAACCACCAACCCTTGACATTTAATGGTGTTACCATCACTGAATCCCCCACTATCAACATCCTGGGGGTTATCATTGACCAGAAACTCAACTGGACTCACCACATTAACAGAGTGGCTACAAGAGCAGGTCAGAAGCTAGGAATACTATAGTGAGTAATTCACCTCCTGACTCCTCAAAACCTACCCACCATCTACAAGATACAAGTCAACAGTGTGATGGAATACTCCGCACTTGCATGGACGAGTGCAGCCCCAATAACACTCAAGAAGCTTGACACCACCCAGGTCAAAGCAGCCCACTTGATTGGCACTACATCCACTCCCTCCACCACCGATGCTCAGTCGCAGATGCCCACATCCCACAAATGAATAGAAAAAAAAGTTTTGTGCAACTGCAAGAGAAAATTGTCCAAAGTAAACTATTTAACAGATCAGTGCATTTCAAATACTATTTAACGCGCGATGAAACCAAAACAAATTGCCGAAGAAACCCAGCAGGTCTGGCAATGTCTGTGGAGACAAAGGAAAGTTAACATTTTGGGTGCAGTGACACTTCTTCAGAATAACTTGCTCCAGAGATGCTGATTAAAATTTCCAGGATCTGCAGTTCTTTATTTTTGTTCCTCGAACAGGGAAATGGCTCCAAACTAGTAATATTAGACTCGAAGCATTAACTCTGCTTTCTCTCCACAGATTGCCAGACCAACCGATTTTCTCCAGCAACTTCTGTTTTTATTTCTGATTTCCAGCATCTGCAATTCTTTGCTTTATTTTAGTGTGTCCTACAAAAACCAAAGGAAACAAACTTCAACTAAAACAATGGACGTTATCTCCACTTTTGAAGGTTCACATTTCCCACCTGGATGACATCAGCACCAATGGCTTCCTGTTTGTATTGTGTGCCGTACCATTTCTCTGTTCTGTCGGTTTGTCCTTCAAATGATTTAGAAACCACTGCCACACTGTCAAGGGGAAGAACAGTAGAAATGAAAGAACTGACACTGATTCAGATGCAACATAATCTGAAATTTGATGCGAGTATGTAATGTCCACAATGAACCATGCAAACTCAGGAGCAAATAGTGGAGATGGAAATAGTTTAATGAAATTAGAACATCACTGCTGTCTACAGCTCAAAATGCATGGATGCAGCAGGTGAATTAGCTCCCAAAATCCCAAAACTATCTGGGAGAATTCTCTCATCAGGTGACCAATCTAGAGAAAAGTCACATATGCAAAAAGATAGAATCTGAGAGGAGCTGCTCCTGCAACCAGAAATTCGGTCTCTCCCATGCTGCTCCAATCGCAGATTTCTTCTTTTCTTCTCTTGCTGCTGCTCAATAGTCAGAGTCTATGATGTGAGGAGGAGCAAGGGAGGCAGTGATTGGTTGGCCCTACCCATGAAGGAGATTTCCAGATCGGAGCAAGCCTAGTGGAGTCTTCACTTAGACCACTTGATCAATGGGAGTGCCTGTGAGGGCTATTGTTGGATTCTAGGTACAGTGACGAAATTGGGGGAACTTACAGAACTGCCGGCTATCCTAGTGTCATTCCTCCCAAAAGAATGTGATCTTCTTTTGCTTGTGACGCAATTGAACGTATTTGATTTGTTTCCTATTTTTAAGGCATAAGCATGAACAAGCTGGGCACTGAATATACAAGGCTTGGCTAGAACCTACTTCATCAATCATCTATCTGCCGTCAGCAACTAATCTGGTTCCCTCATTCACTTTTTGGGTTGCAACTTAAAACCTGATGATCTTCAGATTGGGGGCTACAGTTAACAACAAGTGACAACACTGGGTCCCATGGCTGCTGAGGGAGCGTTCTGGAACAGGGGTTGGTATGTATCTAGAGGTTGGAATATAACATGTAACTGCTGATTCAGTAACACAAAAAGGCCCATTTTTTACTTCTCACTTTTCGGTCAAAAGAAAAAAACAGCAAAAAAAATACAACAGCAACTCACCGCACAGATTCTGGTCTTAGTTTTTCCAACACCATCTGAATTAAGTCAGCCCTAAACTCTTCCAGCAGGTATTCAGCTGCAAGCACTTCGTGAATGGGATAGTACTGGGTGATTAAAGAAAGTAATATGACTATACAAAAGACATTAACATAATGAATTATGGGCTGTGTAAACCCATCTTCAAAAGCAATGAGCTAACAAATAAACAGCCATTGGTGACAAATTTGCACAGTACATCCCAAAATACTGGTAAAAGCTTCAGATTTTTGTGCAACAGAATTTGACTTTTTCTATTGCCTTACAGTGCTTATATTCTTGAACAAATAATGCTGAGACTTTACAATGGGCAGCATTAGCACAAAGGCTATCCAAGAGCTATAATAGAAGCACCTCCACAGATTACAACTGTTAAGCTACACATGGTATACTGAGGATTTGCATTAAATATTATGATTTACTCTATCTTGTTTAAGGCTAGATGTTTGGTTGTGAGCACAGAGATTTGAACAAGAGAAACAAAAGTTCTCCTCTCCAGTTTCTCTATGTCACTGACAACGTTCTGGCTGTACTCTTACTGCTGCCTGAGTTGATTAGTACATTAGCATGACTAGGCACTGTCCATCTACAATCATCATTTATAATATCTTATCTTTAGAAGCACCTATGTCTCTCATCTATGGCCCCTCTTTTTAAGTGTAATTTTAGAGGCTCTGAGCACACTGTCTCAACAATTTCAACAAACCATGTGTGGAAACAGACCCTCACTATATGATCTGTATTCTTGGATACAACCTCAGCTTTGCCTTTCTGAAGGTCATCTCCTATGTACTTATAATCCAACCAACACAACAAATCTTGTTTGGATGTTATTATTAATAGAATTCTCCACAGCTAAGTCAGATTGTCAGGTACAAGATTTACCGACCTGTGTACAGGTGTGCATGGACTAGGCAACATACCTTTCCAGTTAAAAAAGCAGTTTGTGTTACTTTACGAGCTGTTATAATTTCAATTTATAACACGTTTGCTCCCAATAGTGATCGTAATCATTTTGTTTCATCCAAAACACAGGCCAAAATACAGCAGATCAATGCTAAACCTTTGCTTTAAGAGAAAAACATTTATAAACATCGGAATACTTAAGCCTAACTATCAACTCTCTTTGCTCCCCATCCTATAAAGGCTCCGATGGAATCACTTCTACAAGCTGCTTGGGAATAACTTGTTTCGTAAATCAATATTCAGCAAAAACTGTGTTAATTAAATTGCAACTAAGTGTCAGGGATAATGAAAATGATCACACATAAGGACTACTTTGGAGTTATCGATTCTCAATGGGCATTGAGGCTGTCAACTGTCAGGGATAAACAGATTTAAAATATCGAGTCAAGGGAGTTACACTTTGAAAGTAAATTCTCTTTTCTCTTGCCTCTTTCTTCCTTCATGGTGATAGCTGGTCAATCTTATAACAAGTTTTTAAAATGTACACTAGAGAACAATGTTAAAACATAGCAGCAAACATGAAATATTTACATACATGTAATGAGCCAGCAAGTTTTGAAGTGTAGCCGCGTGGTCGTTCTTTATCTTTGAACCTAAATGCCATAGCATTCAAATCCTAAATTTTAAACAATAAAAAGTCAGTTATATTATCTAGTGAACATTCACAGCTTCATTTTACTTCAGTTGTTTGGAAACAAATATAGTGATTAAAGTCCATGAGTTCAATTGTTTACATATCAAAAGGAGGTACTTAACAGTAAAGAAATGCCACCTCAATGCTCAGGTTAAAGTATGAGCGAGAATAAAAATTCCCTGCAGTGCCGCAGTGATTCAGTTAAAAATTGCATGGGTCATTTTATAGATATTTTCTAATCAACTTGTTCAACAATATTATTACACAACTCTGAAACAGGTTGGATGTGAAGCGGTGTCTCCTGATTCAGAGGTAGGGACACTACCACTGCACCACAAAAGCCCTATGAGTCTGTTTCTTTTAGATATCCAGGAATGGTTTCACACACAATTGACCTTTATCCCCTCCATCACCAAATCTTCAAGGCTTTTTTTTTGCTTTCTATTAACCACCACCAGTAAATCATCTGCGTTTCCAATTGAATACTGGGCTTGGATTTACTTACACCTCCCCCCCTCACCCACCGGATCAGTTTCATATTTTTCTTCTTTACTGGATCTGCTTCATAGATATTTGCCAATCAACCTTTCAGAAATGCTGTCACACAGCTCTGGAGCAAATGAGATTTGAACCAGACCTTTGACCCAGGAGTAGGGACATCACCACTGCACCACAAGAGCCCCATGGGTCTGTTTCTTTTTAAAGTATATCCATCTTAAATGCTTTTAAATGTGCGCATCTACAATATTGCTAGCATATCCCTGTCTCTCTGGTTGCCAGAGGTGGAAGTTCTAAACCCATTACCAAATCCTATTAGTGATACTATTTATATACCCAATGTGAAATGCTGACAGTACAAAGGGCATCAGATTGCAACTTCTGATCAATATTAAATCACTTAATTATTTTGTTCTTTCAAACTGCTTATCGGACACGTGTCTATGTCTTTTCCCTCTGGTTACTTTTGGCAAAATTTCATGGATCCACCTCGAACATTTTTGTAAATCAGGCTAAGTGTTCAAGTGAGATCAAGAAAAAATTTTGTTCATTACCTTGCACTCCTGAAAAACCCACTCTTGTGGTCCTTCTGTACGCAGTTTATTAATATACTGGAACATGTGTAGAATTATATCATCAACATGCACTGCATACAAAAAAAAAAGCAATAAAAAGAAAAATTGCATATTAGGATCAAATGAAATATGCTTTCTGTAAGCTTAAAAAAATACAAATGAAACACAGGCCTAGTTGTTTCCTTGCAAGATACTGAACGGATACTCCTGCTTGATTGGTGATATTTCAAATCATAACTCCATTACAAGCCTCAAATACTCTCATTTTGCCACCATCTGCCAGCCAATAAAAGGCCATCCTAACAGCAACAAGATATTAGAAACTCTACCCTGACATCCTGCAAAGCACTAAATACTTAAGCAAGTTTCTAAAAACACTGCAAACTTTGGCGTACTGTTCACATCAACTTCAGTTTTAGTTCTGCCAGCTTTGATGTCACCTGCATTCCAAAAGAGTTGCTGCTTGGAACAGACTTAACATTTCCACAGCAACTTTATTAAAAGCTGGAAAATCATATGTGACTGAACTTTTGACATATATTACTCATATTCACAATCTAGTACAAAACAAAATTTAAAGAACATAAATATCACAGTTGCTCTTAAAAATGTATGCTTTACTTACCAAGTCCTTCCTCAGTAAGATCTACATTAATGATGAAAAACATAAAACCTTTAGCGCCTTCTTTTTGCCCTCCAACAAGAGTGTTTACCCAACCTGGAAAAGACCACAGAAAAAGTTAGCACATCTTTTTACTTTAAAAATCCAAACATTTTAGAAGAACTTAAAACATGACCTAGAGTTTTCAAGTTGATTTGATTTCAAGTAACAACTGCTTCTCTCTTCACAGATAATGCCAGATCTGCTGAGTTTCTCCAGCATTTTCCGTTTTAACTCAAGAAGTGATTTTTGGGAGTGACCAGAATAGAACACTGGATATTCTGAGCAAGAGGAAGTTCGTGTGCATACAGAAGGACCACAAGAATGGGTTTTTCAGGAGTGCAAGGTAATGAACAAAATTTTTTCTTAATCTCACTTGAACACTTAGCCGGATTTACAAAAATGTTCGCGGTGGATCCATGAAATTTTGCCAAAAGTAGCAGTGCATACTTCAACAGTTAGAAATAGTTAACAAAATTGTGCTTCAGGACAACAAACCCCACAAGTACTAATACAATAAACAACGTTATTGTACTAGGTAAAGTTACGGCAGGGAATATTGATGTGCTTCAGCAAAGTACCCTATTACATTGATATTAGATCATAATAGACAGGAGCAGAATTAGGCCATTCAGCCATCGAGTATGCTTCACCATTCGATCATGTCTGATATGTTTCTCAACCTCATTCTCCTGTCTTCTCCCCGTAACGTTTGATCCCCTTACTAATCAAGAACCTCTCTCTTTCGGTCTTAAATACACTCAATAACTTGGCCTCCACAACCCTCTGTGACAATGAATTCCTCAGATTCACCACCCTCTGAAGGTTGTTCCTTCGCTCTGGGGCTGTGCCTGCGGGTCCTAGTCTCTCCTACTAGTGGGAGCATCTTCTCCACATCCATTCTACCCAGGCCACCCTACAGCACAGTACAATGACGTAATAATTTATTATAAAGTATTGCACGACAGAATGTAATAGCTCAACTACTGAAGCATTAACAAACAACACAATATTACAGAGCAATGGAGTTCGAACTGCATTATAGTCACATGGTTAGCTCTTGCACTTGACAAGACTTCCGAAGATGAAAATAAACAGTCAAATACCAAATAATTCACCAAGGCACATTTATGCATCAACTGGCAGCCCAGCATGAACAGGCATTCACAGCTAACTTCTCTCCTTTTGGTTGTGGATGGGTCGATGAATAAAGAGAGGAAGAGGAAGAGGATTAACAGAATAACATAGGTATAATGCCAGATCTTTAAAGTGCAGACAGAAAATGAGACATGGTTCACTGTATCCAAATCTCTAAATTTTATTTGGGCAATATGTATAATTTCCATTTCAAATGTCACCAAACATTTTAGTGAATAACCCAATTTGTACCAGGAGTCACATAGAAATCAGGGGTTTGAAAATAAAGACCAGACAGCTCCTTGAAAAAGGGAGTGGCGGATAAAGAAAAATGAATACAAATGGACAAAAAGACAATGCTCTGACATGGCCAAATGGCATCCCTGGCAGCTGACAAGGGAGCTTCAACAATACATAGAAACTTAGGGAAAGAGAGAGCACAGAATTAATAGAGGAAGGAAAATAACACTGCTGTCTGTTTCCCACAAACAACATTCATAATTACCTTTAGCTTTCAGTTCTGACAGAAGACTCCCTGGTCCTTCATGACCGATCAAATGTCCGAGGTAGTGACCTGGATTTGATTTGTAATACTTCTGAAGGTCTGGTATGGGAAAAGTGACATAAAGATTCCGGATGTCTTTGATAGGTACCACCTTATACAGTTGCTGTAAAGCAATTAACCAGTTCTTATTATTTATTTTTATTTACACTTCAATTCACCTAGATTTATATTTTAAAAAGTGAACTGCAATTAACTTCTCGTATGTAAACAGCTGTCAAGTTAATTCACAGCTTGAATTTGTTTCACTTGTACAAGCTTTACATATAAAATATAAATCCTACTTTTTTCATGCAAATGCCTTTAAGTTATCATTTCCATGAGAAGGTATTCATTGCTTTCCAATAAGTAGTTTTGTTGCATTTACTTAAGCACCTCTTAACTGAACAGTGGTGACAAATACTTGTCAAAACTCAAGACTGCAACGGCTGAGCGCGCACACTATTAAAGTTCATAATTAACCTTTTTGTAATGGACTTCAATCCTACAGGTGAAGCTATTTTACTCATGATGACAATGTGCAATTACTGGCATTTAAATTTATTCTGCAGCATCACAGCAATATTTCTTCACTTTCTTCAATATGTCAATGAAGGGATGATGGGGGTTGGAAGGCAGGGCAGGGGGTTAGAATGGAGTATTGGTGAAAGTGAAGCAAGGAACAAAAAACACGTGCAAAAAGGTTTCATTGATTTAACTTTCAAAGAAGCCCATCCTCAGCTTGTTTGTGGCCCTTTTTTGCAAGACTTTGTAATTCAAATTGTCTATTAATTTTCAGCTTTGACCTCATGTTGAGTAAACAAAGTCTTCAGGTGGTCTGTTGATTCTGCGAGCAGGGTTACAAACAGGGTGCCTCTTCAATCAATCAGACTGAAGAGTCCTCGCAAGCGTGCAGTGTTAAGTAAAAATTAGACTTAATTCATGTATAGAAAGCAAAATAAGGATCTAAAAAGATGGAGAGAGAGAGTGGACAAGGAAGAAAAAGTAGAAAATATACAGTTTAAACTCCAGAATGAATTAATTTCTGAAGGAATGAGATTCGGCACTTCTAAAACTATGGACAATGGTACGATCCAAATATTGATGCTAGAAATCTGAAATGAATCAGAAAATGTCCGAAATACTCAACCCAGGCAGTATCTGTGGAAAAACAGCTTTCATTTAATGCCTGTGACCTTTCTTCCAATAGAACAGTGGAAAGTTAAAAGGCTACATTTATTGTGATTGCCACCAGTAGATGGCGCAAAGATCACACATATGCTCTCTAACAACCCAACATCATGGACAGAATAGAAGGAAATGGCATGGCTAGAAATGTAAATCAAAGGTGTCAGCCCTACCTGAAGCAGAGTAGACCACACTCTGAAAGCAGGCAGTTGGTGATAGCAGCTGGAGAGGGCATCTGTATCCATCCTACCTCACCCAACACCCACTGGAGCCCCAGCTTCCACTTCGCTGACCTGACCCCTTGTTTACAGCCCATACACTGACGACAACATCACTTCATGTAGAATGCAGTGACATAACTGGCATACGTGCAAACACCTCCGGTGTCTTGTCCTGTTGTAGACAGATGGTGTCACTGTACATGATCCAAACTGGGCACAATGCAAACACAGTCAATCACTCTAAAGTCAGAAATGCAATAGTTTTTGAGCAAGGGTGAGGGGATGGAGATGGAGATGGAGATGGAGATAAAATGTCAATAGAGCTAATAAACTAACAATGTAGTGTCAAGATGAGATGTGAAGAAGTTGCCCAAATATGAATTTAAAAGATGAAATGATCAGGAGAAGGGTTGCAATAGTTAAAGGAGGTACAAAATAAAATTGAGTTTATTAATCAGTACAGACAGCTGTAAAGTATGGAGTCCAAGGCTTAGGAGAACACTGTGGTAGGCTAACAAAGGAAGAAGCCAGAGGATGGTAATGACAAGGGATTACAAACTCCAGGTCACATTTGGGGTCTTAAGTGGTATTCTACAAATCAGATTTTCAAGGGACAGCAGATGCACAGACTATGCGCATACAAAATGTATTAGCTATGTACAATAAAGAAAATCAGAAACTCTAATGAAGTGATTGGGATTTTGTTCGGCATGGGCTGGTTAGACTGAAAGGTCTGTTTCTGTGCTTTATGACTAATGTAAGCCTTCATAACAAGGGTAGTCACAGAGATTCGCTGCACGGAAACAGGCCTTTCAGTCCAACTCGTACATGCCAGCCAGATATCCTAAAGTAATCTAGTTGCATTTGCCAGCATTTGTCCTATATTCCTATTGATACCCATCCAGACGCCTTTTAAATGTTGTAACTGTACCAGCCTCTGCTACTTCCATTAGAAAAAAATTGGAGTAGAATGCGGAGGAAATTTTATTCCAACTGTATACAAAGTCATATTTATGTTATAGCTGGACTAGTGGGTTCATTCTGGGTACTGTACCTCAAAAAAGGATAGATGAGCCTTGGAAAAATTACTGCACAATGCTGTAAGGCAGAGAATAGATAGACTAGTCTTTATTCCCTGGAATACAACAGATTAAGGGGATATATGGTTTGAGACTTCAGAATTCAGAAAGAAATTGATACTTCAGATAAAAGAAAATATTCCCACTGACGGGAAATCTAGGTCAAGGGCGCATAAAAATTAGTTTAAAAATGATAAAATCAAAGTCAAACCATTTGGAAAAGCAATTAGTCACCATTTCTTCACAAATGGTAAAACTAGCACAAAAAGAAAATGCCAACTCAACAGCTGAGATAGACAGTTTTTTTTTGCTGGATAAGAGTCTAAATAGATGTTGAGTCAAAGCAGGTAGACAGGTGCAAGTTATATATCAGGCATGATCCGACTGAATGGTGGAATAGGTTTTAGGGGTTGAAAGGCATGGTTCCTGTTCTTAAAAGGCACCAAGAGGTTTCAGTGGCAGTGAATCAAGGTAAAGGTCAACGAAAAGCAGCTAAAACAGACAACCTTTGGAGCGGAATACAGGGTCAGAGGCGCAATTCAGGATGAGAAAGAATGTGGAGGTTGAAAATAGTCCGATTCAGCTAGGGATAAAAGTACCAAAGGGGAATGCAGTTGGTGGCGACGAGGGGTGAAAGCGATAGAGTCACTCTTCCCGGATTGCAGTTGGAAGTAATGTCAGTCACTTCACATCAGCGGGTCTGATGAAGACAACTGATTAGTAGTAGTAGCAGTTGGAGGAGGAGACTGAATGGAAACGGTAGAGGTAGTTGCTTGCCATCAATATAAATGCTGAAGCAGGCCCAGTATCTGTGCCTGTATAACCAAACAGCAAAGAGGAGGGGTTAAGAAGCAACCCTGAACGATCTCCCGAAGGAACGGTACAGAAATACAGAAAGGTTTGCTGAAGAAAACCAAACAAGCATGTTTTGGCTCACCACAAGAGAGAAGTCATAGTTAGGCATATCCAATTCTACAGCTCCAATGGTACTATACACTCTACAATAGCTACTGGTTGGTGTAACAGCTCAAATGCAATGTAATGATAAAGGAGCCTGCCAACTCGAAGTCCAACAAACATGCAATTCTAGTCCAAATTACTCAACTGATTTCAAGTCCTCCAAACTGCCACAAAGGTGTATAACCATTATTCATGGGGCTATCACACCAGAATTTTTAAGTCAACCAGGGACAGCAAACAAGTGCAGTACGCATAGTATGCTCCAGGGAGACACTTGCACATGCACTAATGAATGAGATTTTTTGAAAGGTGTCCACATGTACATCTTTATCATTGGATTGCCTGCCAATATGGAAAATTCTTGGGAGCATCTGATGTTTCAGAGTTAAGCAGCGGGCCCAGTGCGTGATAAGTAGCAATGAACAATTACGACCCCATTATCAATTTGGAATTATTCTTAATACCCCTCCCAACTCAGAGATAAAAATGTCACACTCAAGACATCCCATGATATATTCGGGCTATCTGGTGTCAACAAACACTACCCGTGCATACAGATACACGTTGTATCAGCAGATTCCAGTTCATTCCTTTTTCTCTCCCTGTTCTTTGTTTCTGTCCCTCTAATCTTTGAGGAAGGTTTCTGAAGAGTGGAGAAGCCTCCTGAAGCTATCCAATGGCTTTTAGGATTTGTTTCCCTTTTGGGAAACTCTTTTTATAGTTCAATGACTTAATTTTAATTTGTACTACTCCAGTGTGCTCTTTTCTCATGTTCACTCAAAATCACATTAGCATATCAATATTAGCATACCATTGTTTATTTTGGGTTTTTTGTGGTTGGGATTTGTGGAAGATAAAGGGATTAACAGGTGACTCACCACCATACTGACAGTTTTCCTTTGGCTGCTTCATTAGCTAATAATGATAATGCATCCAAACTGTCAAAGCACACAGTGAATTAATGGTGCAGCATATTAATACACTAACCTTTTTTGGTTGGCAATGATTTGTTATCCTAGATTCATAATTATCTAACAAATTTGAAGTTTAAAAATTCAAAAGATATTCACTTTAAAATCCATGAGTAGACAGGCCTCAGACTGTTCAACGACTGTTTCATAAAATATTCTAATTATCAAATGATTATTAATGGACATTAATAATTCACTTTAAGTTCATGTAAGTTTTTTAAGAAAATAATTAATCCATTCAAAAGGTACTCACCGTAAAATCTGTGCAAAGCAAAATGTGTTTAGGCTGTATACCTGTGACAATACCCATATCAATCAGAATCTACCTGCCTGATACAAGAATTAAGATTGACAGTTAACTGTTCTTGCTACATCTCCAGTGTCAATTATAGCCCAACCTGTTAGCAGTACCATCTCATTCTGTATAAAATGACTTCTGTTTCTTGCATCTTCGTTCTCGAGTGAGTGCACTCACTCACATACACTGCACCTTTTTCAAAAAAGTTGTCATGGATTCAGGCAGATGTGGCAATACCTCCCTGATATGAGAATTAAAATTAACAGTTAGCTGTTCTTGTTACATCTCCATGTCAATTATACTCCAACAAGTCAGCAGTACCATCTCATTCTGTAAAAAATGGCTTCTCTTTGTTTTCAAGTCTGCTTCTTGCATCATAGCTTTGATGAGTGAGTGCAAGATGAAAAGCT